TGCCTGGCAAACTTGCCTAGCATGTATATCAGTTCAAACGCTGCAGCATCACTATCATACATTGTATTCTTGGTGACATGTCATTGAGATTCGACTTCCTGTTTGTGATGAGAGGTTTGTGATCCGTTTCTGCTATGAATGTTGGTAAACCAAACATCTAGCCATGGAACTTCCTGCATAAACTTTTGTTTTAGCAAAAATAATTATTTATTGTAAAAAGATAAATAATGCTGGAATGATGCTGAATCTTACAATTAGCAAATAGTTGAGGGTTGTTCAATTAAAAAAAATAAAAAATAAAGACTGAACAAACGTTCATATCCTGGTTCACCGGAGATCTGTCTTTCTTCGTGGTCACTGTCTTCAGATATAAGCCTTCTGGGACACCTAACAGATCGTGTTGATTTTCTTTGAGGCATTCCCATAATTTCATGCTGGTTTTTATGCTGATTAGCTTCCCCGTTCCGTTATCCGCTTTCACCGCGGCGCTGCGCTCCGTTTCAATCAGGCTGTACAGCAGGATTTCCCCTAGCAATATTTTCCCTAACTCTGATTGCATCATGCTATAGATCGTTGGAAAGCTGCTTTTATGTACTTTAAGGAACTGTTGGAATTTCTTGGATCAGATCAGCCATTCAAAAGTTATAAACGTGAATATTTTGGATGACTAACTCAGCACGTCTCTCAATCTGTGTTGTGATTTGTTGCGCTCAAAACAGGGAAATCCCGGTGGCTACCGTAATGTATTGTATATGCACGAAAAGCCCCACTTTTAATCTTTTCAGCACTTTTGGAATTTTAATGATATCTTCAACGGTTCAGGAATTATGGTAATGAGAAGTGCGCATGTCCAATCCCGTCTGCGGCCACAGGTTGGTAATAATGCTGTGGCGTTAACAGAGGGGTGCCGGTGGTCAGGGCTAGGGGCCCCCCAACACATGGGGGCCCCAGGCGGCTGCCTACCTATGCCTAATGGTAAAACCGCCTCTGCCCAGAACCAGGATCTTGAAATGAACCCTGAAGTTGACTGGCAGCCAGAGAATCTGTGGTAAAACTAAGGAATTTAAAGAGGAATTTCCACACTGTTTGATGAAGATTTTGACAGTAGTGGTTCATCAATACAGGGTGTTATGCATGTAGCACACCCAAAGGTCAAGTTTCATCAAAATGACCAGAACTTATCTTTTTAATTAGCAGACACAAACACCCCATCTGTCTGGCAAGAAAGCACTTCACAAGACCTTGCTACCGAACGAGGTAGCCATAATATCTTTGCTCAAGGTCTAAAGCAGAAGACAAAACCTTTCACTCTGAATAAAGTTAATCTTCCTTGAATCATAAATGACTTCACAACTTTATAGGTTGATATAATCAAATGTGTTGAACAAACAAGACGTTTAAATCCCAAAGTGTTTGAATGATCTGTGCATTATTCAAGGATGTGTTAAAATGAATATTTTTCCTGCAATGATTCATTTCAGATCTTAAACTACACTAGATCAGTATTTTTTGATTTAACAACTTAATCTATCAGTATACTCATGCACATTATAATAAGATTATTATCAATGTTTACCTTTTTGCTTCACATGACTTATAAAATTTGCACTTCGCACTAAGAGTTAAACTCTCTGAATATCTGACTGAAGGCGTGATTTCTGAAGTATTTTTGGTAATGCCCTTTAAACGTGTCGAATTCTGATTTGTATAAGCTTGTAAACAATGAAGGTGATAAAACAGGAATTACTTCCTGATCTAGTTAGTCTTCGCCGTTCCCTTGACAAGGCCAGTCGGGTGAACAAGCATTTTGAGACCATCCTCTGTGTGATTTCAGACACAACGGCTCTTTTAAGAGCCACCGAACAGCTTCAGATGCAAAACGGACACTCAAGCTTCCTGCCGCCACCTGGAGATAACCCAGACGAGACGAGTCATTATCGGAGCTGCCTACAGGCTCCGGTACCAGAGGTCCACGCCATTGGCAGTTTCCATCTCGACCTCCTGCCCCGCTGGATCGCACGGGGATCTTAACACAAGGGTGCATAGACCGGCACAAATTGCATCTGATGGTGTTTACGGTATATTTAGCTTATCAAACCATACATCCAAACTGATTTTACAACCCAGACACTACAATCTCTCTCAAATATTTATGTTTTGCTAAAACATCTAGCTCATATTACATCATTCCATTCATCATCTGTTATCTTCAAAACTATCATTACAATCATACTTTGTCATTTACTATCATTTAGTTTAGGAAAACAGAATTAAAATCATTTTTAAAACTACGTATATTCTTGACTCTGTCTGAATTAATATGAAATGTGTATGTTCCCTAAATAAGTCAGAGAACCTAAAGGAATATTAAATTAAATGTTCAAAGACCAACCAGATAGATATTTCATATTTAAATGGAACATCACATCTTATTGATCATTTAATAAATAAGTAGCTAATCGTTAACGCTACATGCAGAAATGTGTAACAGAGTCCAAACTGTGTCCCCACTTCTCTAAATCATACTACAGTTACAGCTGTCAGGGTGTTCTCCCTTATAAAGCGTAAAAATATGAACATACAATAATAAAAATCTCTACCAGTAAACATAAGAGAAATTTTTATAGTGATATCGAGCCAACCAGATTCATTGTACAGTGTACCTAAAAACAAAATTTTTTTATAGCAATTTTCATACGCTATACCTTGAACTACAGATACAAAAAGTAAAAGAATGTTTGTCCACTGGGCAACACATCTGTACATAACACCCCATATTGATGCAGCACATGCAGGAGTACTTCTACAGATATTCTGTAGTCAATATCTCTGTCAGTGAGGAAATTCCTCTTGTACTGTTTTACCACTGATTCTGAGTCAGCAACTGTTTTATTTGTTAGGCTTAAAATAAAAATCCTCTAACATAAAGGACCCGTTCAAAAACTAAATGTCTCATCAAAAACGAGATGTCTCATCCCTAACATAACTCAATAAATAAATAAATAAAATACAAGCTGCCATGTTCGTTGTCAACCTGAGCCTTGCTCACTGATTTTAATGGGAAAGGTAGACAGAAATAAGAAAATCATGATGAACAAACCATGAAATGATTAACTATATCATGAAATATCTATATACAATTTAAATAAATTCAATATTTGTATTTATGGTTCATGCAATTAAATATTTAATTATACATTTATAAAAAGTGTTTTTTGCTTTAGTTATTTATTGAATTGTGTCACTTTTGGCTCTCCATATATTGCAGCAGGAACTCATGTAATAATTAGACTATACATTTTTCCAACTTTCATTATGATCCATAATTTATGGCCTTAAAGTCAGTGACCTCCACTGTGTCATTTGGGCATTTTACCTTGAGTCTAAGTAGATAATCTGGGATCAACAATGCAGTTTGGTGGTCTGTTGCATTCAGTTTTTCGTATAGCAGGATGACATTGGCAGCTTTATATTTGTGACATTACAAGGAATGCATGGATACTAAATTTGTCCTGCTTGACGTATTGTTGTGGACTTACATGAAGAATGTGACATTTCATGTTTGCAAGAAACATTTTTACCTAAACAAGACATGGGACAGCCAAATTGCCTAAATCCAATTTTGTTTGATCTACTGATCTCTACACAGCTATAGTTAAAGCTAGAATAGCAGGGGAGGGATGTCCTGCTTTGGGACAAAATAATCGATGCTGCCTTAAAGCCAATTAGACTGGATGTAGATTGGTGTGTGGGTTTACAATATACTCATAATAATGATAGTTTTGTTATCTTAAATGTTTATGCTCCATATGAGGCTATTGAAAATAAAGGAGAATATCTTAATAGATTGGCTTTTATTAATGCATTTATTCAAGGTCAAGGTACTTACAGTATATGTGTTGTGGGTGATTTGAATGCTGATCTCGGTTTGCCAAACATTTGACCCAATTTTGTACAGATAATAATGTTATTCTGACTAGCAGGTGTCAAGATAAAATGACAGCTATACATATATAAGTGATGCCTGGCATAGTACATCATGGCTGGACCACTGCATTAGTACAGCAGATGGGCATGCAGCATTGGAAAACATGACCATCATGTATGGGGTATCTGTATCAGACCATATACCCTTTGCTTTTTACTGTAAGAACAACTGCCTGAAGCAACTGGGTATAATCATGACAATGATAATAGTGCTACTGGTATAAGGTTAGAATGGTCAGCACTCAGTGAGGAAGACTTATTGACCTATTATAACTACCTATAAAAACTTAAACATTCATTTGGCTAAATAAGCTATTTTGTGCAAAGATGTCAATCTGTAAACATCTTGAGCATCAATGTAAACTTTGCTCTATGTATGATGATATAGTGGCTGCTCTGTATGAAAGTGGTAGACAGTTTCATGTAAAAATTAAGTATGACCAAAAACATAATAGCAGGCCTGGTTGGAAAGAGCATGCAGCCCCTTATCAGGATGAAGCACGTCAAGCTTTTAAACTTTGGGCCGTGGCTGGGAGACCGAAGCAAGGTCCAGAGTTTGATCAGAAAAAATATGTGAATGTCAGGTATTCTGTCCAGTTTAGAGCAAAAATGAGCAAGCTATGAGGGATAAGCGGAGGAAAATGTATGGAAGTGGATACCTCCTTCAGACATGATGCTGTTCCTAAGAGAAGAAAATATTCTTGAAATGAAACAGTGATTTAGTGAAAGGAGCAAAGTCTAAAAACTCATATTGAGATCAAAAGAATTACACAAAATCATCTATTTAGCTACTTAGTTGTATAATGTAGGTTTCATTAGCAAAGGATGCTGTATACCATACACATTAAAAAGTACTCTGACAGAGATGATTACTCATTTATTTTACATGTTTTTCTGTAGTAATACTTAACACACTGGCAACACTTTTTGTTTGTACTTGGTGTGTAGAAAAATACAACCCATTTGTTGTGTAATAACTCCTCCGACCTTTAGGAGGCGGTGTAGATTTCCGAAGCTCTTGTTGGTAGACATTTGTAGTTTCCGGTGAGAGAGGTTATGTGGCAACATGCGGATTTTGTAGCTTAGTAGAAGGTATTAAATATAATAAATAATAGTTTTGGACAGTTTTAGGAGAGACGCTCGTCTTTAATCGCAGATTAAGCCTTGGAAAGGTAGGTATGTTAATGTGACCTAAAGTTTATTGAAAGTTGTGTCATGTTTAGCTAACTAGAGCTTTGAATGTGGTTTAAAATCGCCTGTTTAATGTTTATATTAATAATTTTCAGTATTCGTTTCGTTTTAAAGCGAGTTAATATTCAGTTTTCTTTGCATATGTTTGTAATTAGGCACCCATAAACGTTGCAACGTAAGCTAGGATGTTGGTTTTCATAAAGAAATGCATTTATGAGAAATTGGCCCTCAGTTCTAGTAACATGTTGCTAAGGCTGCCTTCAGGCTGACATGCTATCAGAACATTTTTGAACCTGAATTATAATTGATTTTTTAAAAATGTAACCGACATTATAGTCAATGTAAATCCAAGAATACACGCAAAGATGTAAGTTAATTTCAGCTCAACAAAAGCAGCAGAAACAAAGAAGAAATTTGGGCTCTTAATTTAGTACGAAGTTGATGTCAGAGATGTTTTGGAGCTTTTTTTTAGTCACTCATTTAAATAATTTTCTCTTAACAGGCAGTCAAAATGCCGGCTTTGTGCAGCAACTGCTCTGAGAAACGTGCTATGCTGAAACGCCCCAAAACAGGCCACTCTCTGTGTAAGTTGTGCTTCTTTTTTGCTTTTGAGGAGGAGATACATCAGACCATTGTAGCAGCAAAACTGTTCAAACCTGGGGAGACTGTAGGTATCGCTGCCTCTGGAGGAAAGGACTCCACAGTGCTTGCATATATCATGAAGCTCCTAAATGAGCGGTACAACTACGGCCTCAAGCTTATGCTCATCTCGGTGGATGAGGGAATCACTGGTTACCGGGATGACTCCTTGGAGACGGTGAAGAGGAATCAGCAACAGTATGAGCTGCCATTGAAGATTGTGTCATACGAGGAGTTGTATGGCTGGTCTATGGATGCAATAGTGAAGCAGGTGGGACTGAAAAACAACTGCACTTTCTGTGGAGTGTTCAGAAGACAGGCGCTGGACAGAGGAGCCATCATGCTGAGAGTAGATAAGATCTGTACAGGTAAACTCAAAGGGTTGAACATGAGCAATGCTAGCCTGAATGCTGCATAACTTGAATAACTTGAAGGTTTGTTTTGCACAGGTCACAATGCTGATGATGTGGCAGAGACTGTGTTGATGAATGTCCTGCGAGGAGACATCGCTCGTCTACGTCGCTGCACAGCCATATCCACGGCCAGTGAGGGTGATGGGGTTGTACCACGTTGCAAACCCCTCAAATATGCATATGAGAAAGAGATTGTTTTATATGCCTATTTTAAAAAGTTGGACTATTTTTCCACTGAGTGCATCTACTCCCCCAATGCTTACCGTGGCTATGCTAGAACATTTCTCAAAGACCTGGAGAGTATACGACCTAGCTCTATAATAGATATCATTCACTCTGGTGAGAATCTGTCTGTGCGTGAGGGGGTGAAGATGCCTGTCCAGGGAACCTGCAGCCGCTGTGGCTACATCTCCAGCCAGGCACTTTGCAAGGCGTGTGTGCTGCTTGAGGGGCTGAATCGAGGCCTGCCAAAGCTAGGTATAGGCAAGCACCACAGATTGCATGAAAAAATCCTCTCCCAGCAGCCTCTCACTGAAAATGAGGAGAAAAAGCTGAAATCAGGAGACTTTTGACAAACATAAAGGAACATTTTTTATGATTCTTTAAAAAAAATTTTTTTTTACGCTTTAGTATGACTAGCTCAGACTTTTGGTAAATGTGATGAAGCTCATATGACAAATGAATTGCTTTACCCCTGTAAAACATCAGTTTTTATCAAACTATCAAATTTGATGACTGCAACTATCAAAGCACATTTTTTTTGTCTGATTTGGTAAAATAATTACAGGTATTAAACATTTAATTAGTCATGTTAACATTTTTGGATAGCTTTTAAAGAGCAAAAGTTAATTTCAGTGTTAACTTTTACTTGCATAGATTTAAATGTAACTTTCTGATGTAATAAATGAAATTGTACATTTGTCTTTATTATTATACATCGTTTCCAAAAATGTTGATTATTTTAATGTGGCTCAAAGCCAATATGTTCAAGTAGGCTCCTCCACTTTAAAAACTGATTTTATCTCTCGTCAGCTCCTGTCTGCTGATTTGCTTTTAAATGACTATGTTTTTATTGATAGTTTGATGTAAGATTTTAGAAATGTCAAAGTGTAGTATTATTTCGGAAATATACCAGACAATTAAAACGTTTTAATAGAATTCTTTTAAAATAACTGTAGTGAGTGCAATATAAAATGTTTTCACAAAAATTTACTCGTTCAGACATTTTCATCTTTTGGCCGCTGAGTGTCGCTGTTTACTGCGCTTCAGTCAGAGCACGCGCACACTGGCAAACCGCTCGTACAGCGGGCGCGTTCACGACACGTATCCTCACTAACTTTAGAGAAGTGTTGGAAGAAGCTCGAGAAAACTTGACTTCATAGGGCGTGTAGGCTGCTAATCTCAAAGCTGACGCTGGCCGCTACAAGAAAGCCGCTATGGACGATTTAGGTGAGTAACGAGAATCTAATTTTTAGTAAAACAGTTTTTTTAAATCTTGTGAGAGCGGATACCAGCAGGGCTGAGGAGTAGTGAACGTTACGTCGAGATCTAGTGTTTTTTAAGAGCGTTTCTGGTTCACCGTAGGTCATTGTATTCAGATAAACTTTGCTGTCGTTAGACATGAACGGTACTGTGTAAAATACAATTTTAAAAAAATTACACGTTTGACACATTTTCTATCTCACCCACTGTATTTTACAAACGTAACTTGTAGCTGTAGCCTCCGTGAACGTTTCCCCGTAAACGCAACATTAGTCGTGCTCCTCCTAACTACTTTTCCACCAAATGTGCGCTTGAGGGAGGGAATATTTAGTTGACATTTTGTCATAAAGCTTTAGTGAGCTGGTCCACTCGCCTCAGGCTACTCATTCCAGCTTTGAAGTGGTGGAGTCAACAGGCCTCCCTATTTAGTTTGCACACTGCAGCACAATGTGAGCTCAGCCATAACTTGGCTAAACCCAGCCTCCAGTGGAAAGAAGAAAACTGGAAACAACCCATGACTACTACTAAAAGAGTTGGTTTACAAATTCAGTATGACATGTCTAAAGCAACCCCTCATATTCAGAGTTATGCAGCATAAGGGACACGGGAATTATGTCCCTAACCCCCATGGGGCTTTATTATGAGCGCAGCTTTAATATTTGGGAAAATATTGTCAACATATTAAAAGTTTCTGGTTAATTAGCATCTTTCTGAGCATGGTGGTGTTTTGTTTTAGAGAAAACTGCCATCATTGGTAAGCTGACTTCAGCTTCTTTAGAATAGTATGTAGCATTTAAATGTATGTAAATGCTATAGTAAACGTGACACATTGCAGATTTATACAGTAAAATCAGTAATTCTACATTGTAAATAAAAATGTTTTCCCTTAAGTTTGAGTTTACCTGGTTTTATCCTGTTTGTTTGATGAATTATACATTTGTTTTAACATGGAACAGCTTTCCACTCGAACTCCTTACAACTTTACAAACGTTTGACACATATGTCTTTTTGTTGATTATTTAGTATTATTATTTTGTTATCATTAACTTATGGTCTTTTGAGTTGAACTTGTCTGTTACTAGCGCTTTCATGAGCTATTTTCAAAGCACTAGTTCAGAATAAACTATTTATTTAGCCATTCTTTTGACTGATTTCAAAGCAGCCCTGCAGTTAAATGGATTAGTTAATTGTTTAAGTGGAAACATGATGTGCTACATTTTACATTTGAACTGTTGTGAGAACGTCTCCAGGGCACAGATGATGCTCTGGCTGCCCCAGGTTACTGAAAGGACCTATTGTTGGTTGAGAGAGAGCTTCCAGGTCTTCTGCAGGGCGAGACTGCTGAGGAATTTTGAGCATCATTCTCTGTCGGGGTCCAAGGCCAAATACTCTCTGGGTCATGACTCACCTCCTGTCACTCAGCTCAGTGTACTGGCAGTTTCAGTCTTTCCTGATTAAATCTCCAACCATTACAAACGTGTAAAAGAAAGCTAAAAACAAAAAGTGTAAGCTAGATAAATATCTTATATTGACAGTCTCAACATTCCTACACCCTTCCTAAACATGCTAAAACAATGATAAATATTTGTAAACACTTTTCTGTACTTGGACTGAAGTCAGTTAAAAGGACCCATAGGCTGAGGTGTGGCGTTAAGCTGGCTATTGACAGATCTAGATGAAATATTGATATTATAATTTCCCCCTCTTTTCCTATTTTTATTTATCTGCCCACATTTTTCACAGCTGAAGAAAGGAATTCCCTAAATTTTGAGACAATTGTACATGCTGTTCCTTTGAGTCAGATATGCAGCGGACTTCTCCAATCAGTCTTTTACAGTTTTTTGCCAGGTGGCTGCCAGACGTAGTCCTGCTTTTATGACTGATGTAGTTTGTTGGAATAGTCCTTGACTGGATGCAGACTTAAGGCCACACGTGGCATTTTCCTGTTTGTTAGCCTGTTCTGCTGCTGAACCTTTTCATAAAGGAATCATTCAGCTCGCCGGGAACTTTTCAGGCTTTATTGTTGAACTCCTGTTTCAGATGTTGACATTTTTCCTGATATTTTCGGTTTTTGATTGGTGATCAACTTTGTGGGCTATTCCACCTCATTATTTCAGGCCCAGACTAAAGCCATTTTCACACTTGAACACCTGAGAAGAATGTGCAGATGGTCTGATCCAAAGGTTATTTGAGGTTGCTGTTCACACATGTACTTCACAGCAGGGAAAGTTTCTGCTTCAGGTAAACTTTAACAGCATGAAACACCGGTGAGAGAGAGAGAGAGGTGCCGAGGAGCGTTTGTCTACTGGGGCTGTTTTTTGTAGATTTCTTTAGCCTGAGTAGCAAACAGTGTACAGGTGAAACTGGAAAAATTAGAATATGGTGCAAAAGTTCATTTGTTTCAGGAACTCAACCTAAAGCTGCAATAGCAAATCTGAACAACAAGCTAGCTAAGAAACAAGCTAGCTTTTAAAGACAAACATGGTCATGGAAGTCCCACCCCTCCTGTGGGCTATTATCGCTAGGCCATGTCCTCCTGGTACCAGAACCTGCATTGTCAGAGTAAACGAGAAAGCTCCAGCCGTCATTTTCTACTTCCAAACATCCTTTGTGTTATGTGATTTCAAATTGTGTTTTTCTTTTTGGGAATCTGGTAGTTTGTCCTAATGTTGAAGTGGTAGCAGCTGGCTGTTTCTCTTTCTTTTGATATTGAGTAGAGAACCTCAAACCAGTGGTGTTCTGTTGCAAAAAGCGTGAGCGCATAATGAATGGAGGACCCAGGCACTTGCGGAAGTGTGGTAAGACAGGCAACCAGATGGTCCAACTGTTGGTTTTATGCTGAGCTGTGTAATTGACTGAGGTTTTAAGACAAATGTGAGAGAACCACTTTATTAATTTTGTATTTTTTAATCTCCATTAGGGGTAGAGCCATTTATCGCTAGATCGATATGTCAGCCCGATATTTACTGTTTTTAAAATGTAGACATCGGCCGATATTTGTCCTTACTAAGGCTGATTTAAAGTCAGGTGCATCCTCGGACAGCCTGGTGCTTTTTCAGAATTTAATTTAAATGTGTTTTTACATTCACTATTAACATCTGCATAATCAACTTTGCTTAGGTGTCAGACTTTAACACTGAGAAGTGCACAAAGTTAAGATTTAACTATCCAGCCATCCATCCATTTTCATCCGCTTATCCAGAGTCAGGTCGTGGGGGCAGTAGCCTAAGCTGAGAGACCCAGACTTTCCTCTCCCCAGCTACTTGGGCCAGCTCCTCCGGGGGAATCCCAAGGCGTTCCCTGGCCAGGTGAGAGAAATAGTCCCTCCAACTTGTCCTGGGCCTACCTTTAGACCTCCTCCCAATTGGACGTGCCCGGAAAACCTCACCATCCTAACCAAATGCCCGAGCCACCTCAACTGGCTCCTCTCGATGTGGAGGAGCAGCAAATCTACTCCGAACCCCTCCCGGATGGCCAAGCTTCTCACCCTATCTCTAAGGGAGAGCCCAGCCACTCTGCGGAGAAAACTCATTTTGGCTGCTTGTATCCGCGATCACATTCTTTCGGTCACTACCCAAAGCTCACGACCATAGGTGAGGGTAGAAACGTAGATCGACCGGTAAATCGAGAGCTTCGTCTTCTGACTTAGCTCTCTCCGCCATGACAAACCGGTACAACGCCCACATCACTGCAGATGCAGCACCAATCCGCCTATCGATCTCGTGCTCCAGCTTTCCCTCAGTCGTGAACAAGACCCCCGAGATACTTAAACTCCTCCGCTTCTTCTTCCGGCTCTTGGAGAGTACAGACACTTTTTTCTCCTCTCCCTCCCTCCTCCTCCCAAGGCTCTCTGTCCTGTCTGCCTGTGCTCTGCGCTTTCTGCATTATTTCTGGAAACTGGAAATTATTAAACATGGGTCTGGTCAGTTGGTCTCTCAACGAGATTGACAAAATTTTTTCAACGATGAGAACGGGAGAAGGGGCTCCCGGATGCCCCTCAGGGACAGAGCCAGCTGGGTATATCATGGACTCCTGGAAACAGGAGTCCATGATGGAGGATTCTGAAGACGTCTGGATATTTGTCGTTTTGGTGTCGGGATTCCTGCTGTTTGGCCTGAGTGGTTACCTGGCATACCGGAAAATTAATGAGCTTTCGAGGAATATTGGCTTAATCCCAGAGCTCAGGGATGGAATGCGTCGCGCTGTGAACTCACAAACTCATATAATTGTAGAGATGAGTCGTAAGCTTGGAACTTTGGCTGAGATTCAGGTGGATTCGATCAAGGAGAGAGTTGACGGATCAGCATGGATTGGAATAGATTGATCACGCCATTATTTGACCTGGAGGGGTTGAAGACCAACATAACTCTAAGGCAGAGAGGGAATTATCTCTGTCTGTACCCAAAACAATTCTTATCTGAATCTGGTGCCCTTGAAGCCTGTGAGGCTGAAGTGATAACTCCACCCTTCAGAAGAAATGTGGAATGCTGCCATTGCTATGGAAGCCCTTTCTCTCCATCCCAGCCTGGGCGGGACTGTGACCGGTGAAGGCCGTGGAACTGTATCTAGGAGTCAATGTTCTCTCTAACCCATTATCTCCCTCCCCTGTCCAAACAGAGGTGATGAGCGCTGCACGTCCAGAAGTGAGGAGAGTCCCAACCCTACCTCCTCACCTAGAGGACACTTATGTTGTGTATTGTCTGAAGTCTGTGTGCATATCTGTCTGAGGTGTTTTTTTGCATAGCAAAGCTATCCTCTCTGTCAGGGGTAACTGAAGTGCCTTTTTTCCCCCTCCCCTTGACTCTGTCCTCATATAAACCCTCTTGATCTATAATGGTAGTGCGACTCATGATGCGAATAACCACAGTCACCAATTCTCGTTGTGTGTCTATGTATGTATGTCTGATCTTAGAATTGTGTGTACTGAAACAATTGAATTTCCCTCTGGGATTAATGAAGTATTTTTGAATTGAATTGAGGCAGGACCTCATCCCTGACCCGGAGAAAGCATTCTACCCTTTTCCGAATCAAGACCATGGGCTCAGATTTAGAGGAGTTTATTCTCATCCCAGCTGCTTCGCACTCGGCTGCAAACCGCTCCAGCAAAAGTCGAAGATCACGTTCTGATGAAGCCAACAGGACCACCTCATCTGCAAAAAGCAGACACCCAATCCTCAGGCCACCAAAACGGATCTCCTCAACACCTTGGCTGCGCCTAGAAATCCTCTACATAAAGGTTATGAACAGAATCGGTGACAAAGGGCAGCTTTGGTGGAGTCCAACTCTCACCGAAAACGAGCCTGACTTACTGCCGGCAATGCGGACCAAGCTCGGACACCGGTCATACAGGGACCTAACAGCCCATATCAGAGGGCCTAGTACCTCATACATTAAGGTTTAACAGTTGATTAAATGCAGAGTTCAAAAACGGATTCAGCTTCAGAAATTGTGTGCATCAGCCACTGTTATTAGTGACATTTTAGCATGAAAATAAGGTGGAAAACATCTGGATATAGGCCATGAAAATTGGCCCACAACAATCGGCAATGCATATCAATCTACGGCTGACCATATCTCCGACATATCAATCTCGGCAAAAGAAAAACCAATATCAGTCTACCTCTGATCTGCATAATGTATTTATAACCATACTATGTTAGAACCTTAAGATGCATGAAAAAATGTTTAAAGCTGGCTTGTTTAGCAGATTTCCTATTGTATCTTTGTGAGAGGTCTCAAGCTAATTATGTTTACAAAAATAAATCCAAAAGTCCCATTTCCTTGTTAAAACATCCGTCGGTTTAGTTCAGGGCCCCCATCACGGGGTCGTGATCAAACTGATCGAGAACAATCATGTGAAGGCCAGTGAATTATTTGGTATCCTCCTCCAAACTGTTGTGTGGTCTTCTGCTGCTGTAGTCCATCTATCTAAAGCAAGGTGTTGTGGTTCAGAGATGTTTCTCTGCAGGTCTTGGTTGAAACCAGTGGTTATTTGAGCTGCTGTTGTCTTTCAGTCATCTAAAACCAGTCTGACCATTCCCCTTTTACCTCAACAAGACATCCTCATCAGCTCACCTGCTGTTCACTTGATATTTTCTCTTTTTCACACTAGCCTCTGTAAACCCTGGAGGTGGTTGTGGATGAACCCCCCCCCAGTAGATCCACAGATTCTGAAAAAATCAGACCAGCCCCTCTGATACAAACAACCATAAAAGCCATATAATTGGGCCTACTTTTATGTACAGTACCTTGTGAGAGATGCTTTCTAAATAAAGTGTTATTTACTTTTTTAACTCTCCATTCTTCTCCATTGTGATGCTTGAATCGAAACATCAGCAATTCGTCTTCTCCACGTCTCAATGTTTGAATGCCCTGAGTCTATGTCACTTGATTGGCTGATAACATCCTTTTTCTGATAACAATTGTAAACGTGTACCTGATGAAGTCTGTGTACCTACGCATGGGAAATGGATTTAGCTTGTGATTAATTTATCAGAAACACAAACTTTGACCAAACTACAGTTCTAAATTTAAAATACATATATGGGTAAACTAACATTAATATACTATAGTCTAACTTACTAAATGATTGAACATTTGTGCTTTTAGGGTTTTCTACAAAGCAGTAGGAAATCTAGCTGAACATTAGATGGAAATAGAAAGTTTGGAAACCTGATTGGATCAAAGGCAGAAGAATAATTTGGTATGTTTACCTTTTGAAATTTTGTGATCTGATTGGTAATGCGGCTTAGTAAGGGTGCCAGTCATAGTTTTAAATAGTGAAACCTGCATAGTAACCTTTAGGATTAGTTGATCAACCTGGCAGAGGAAGGTACCCCCCCTCCCCAAATAAAAGTTGGTAAAGTGAGTCTAAGCATCATGGTCCAGCATGTTTACAGTATTTACGCAGCATACCAGAGATCTTCCAAGGTCTTTAGTGGGCTTCTGTGTCTTGTGTGTTGGCAGTTACAGTTAGAGTTACCAAACTAGCTATCATCACCCTGTTAAAGCTGTTGGGTTAGCACATACTATCCCTAACCAGTGGGCTTGTCTGCAAGGCTAGAAAGATGCCCCCTACTATAAATCAGCCTTGTTCCTGAGTTCCACACCCATCCTGTTTTGGGCCTGGAGAAGAGAGAGCTGCATGGCTGACCTCATCGCTCAGGCAACCGAGCCTGTTCCATATCCTCAGGAAACAGTGGAAGAAAACAATGAGTGGAGTCAGCGCTGGAGGCCAGCTAACACTGTTGGAGGGGGCAGCTGTTGGCCTTCAGTCCGAACTTGGTGCTAGAACAGCATTTCCACTGTTACATGCTGTTTTGTCGTATTATTTCACTTGTCTTCTTGTTTTTTGGTCATGCTGTTCCCTTTCCTTTTGAATTGAGCGACCACGTAATTTGGCTCAGAGCACAACACAGATCATTTACTGAAGAGGTCTGTGTTATGGAGTAGGAAGGACCATTTGCTCCTGCTGGATTCATGCAACATAACTAATATGGCACACCCCAAGGCACAAGTAAAGTTGTCCATCCTCAGAGAGGAGCTGTGTGTTTAGTCATATATTGTGTCATAGTCATCTTTCTACATTTTCTGCCTAACAGTTAAGTCTCATCTGAAAATGTTCAGCAACCTGTGATGTTAGTTGCATAATGTATTTATTGCACAATTAAGTAGTAAGTAAGTAAATTGTATTTATATAGCACTTATCACAGACAAAGAATCATAAAGTGCTTCACATAGATCAAAACAAAATAAAACGGTCATAAAATCATGATCTCAAAACAGAAGTAGATTAACATCAGAAAAAAATAAAGTCATAAAATTCTAAAATTTCATAAATGGATGAAAGATTAAAATTTTGAGTTAAAAGAAGAAAGTAAAAAAAATTACGTAAAAGCAGCTTTAAATAAAAGGGTCTTTAGCGGTTTTTAAAAGTATCCAGACTGTCAATGTTGATTAATAGTGTTGGTACAAAGTTGCCCAGAGTCAACGTTTGCTTTAAACATAAACCTGTAAAATATCTCTAGCTACTTTAGAAATGTAAAAATGTTTCAGTTATAAGGTATTTTCTGGTATTTTATTAATTACTCTGATCTATATGTTGCAGCAACTCCAAATTATTTGATCAAATGTTTACAGAATTCAGTTCAAAGTTAGAGACTGGCAAGCTTAAACATTTTATTTCAATACTTAAAAATCACATTTAGTTTGGATTTCACCATTTTTGACCGTTAAAGGTTTCCTATAAACGGATCACATTACCAGTGATATTTACACAAGTTAGCTGGAAAAGCCCGCTTTCTGATACTCATTAAACACACAGCTTATATGATCAACAGATAATATATCCCATTGCTGAGGTCGGGTCACAAAACCTTTTGCTGCGGCATTTTGAGACAATCCAAAAATCTATTACCTGAAAAAAAATTCCAATAGAATATTTTCAACAAAACTCATGTAAAAATAAGCTGCATAAATGAGAATAAGTAGAAAAATGAGTTAAAGCTGTTTTTGTTTTCATTCTGTTGTTTTTAGTACTATTTGTGATATTTGAATCTTTGCTTTTGCTATTATCTCAGAATTACTGCATTAAAGAATAATGCAAATATTAATCTTTTATGAAAATAGTTTGACGTGGCAGCTGAGGGTACTAGTTGTGACTGTAGGTATTTTAACTAATATGTGAGTTTTCTACATGAGAGAGCAGAAATATCTAAATATTTGTGCTGGTATTAAACCAGTCTGACTGGACAAGCCGTGGATGGAACTGTTGCTTTTAAAACTTTTCTTCCATTTTAATGTCTGCCTTTTACTGTATGACCATATTTGTGTTGACTAACTGTTTTTATTACTTTTGACACAAGAAAAAGCTAAGACAGTCCTTCTTTGCTGCTCTCCATCAACACACAGCTCCTCACTGACTTCTCTTTCATGGCTGGCTCTCAATGTGTCCTCAGTGACTGAGTGCTACATCAGTCTTCACACTTTCCCTTGTGATCTGATTTACATTTCTGCAGGGAAGTACTTTTATTTTAGTCCAGCAGTCTTTTTTTTAAGTGCAGTGTCATATTTCAGATATGAGTCTGCCTGGCTGGGTATTTTTAGACAGTAATCACCCTAAGATGCTCCAGCCTCCCTGATTGTATGGCATTACTGTCATTCATTCTTTGTTGGTATCACATTGTGTGTTCTACAATAGGAACAGATGGCCATCTGCAACCTGCTGGCTTGACCAATGTATACCTTTTGAGTCTGTTTTATGTCAATACATTTTCTGTCCTTTTCCCCCATTCCTACTTCCTCTGTGCCTGGGTCCTACGCTGCTGTAGCTATCCCAGTCTGCCTCACTGGCATCTCACCCTGGCCCCTCCTTTTTTTTGTTTGTTATAAATATCATGTTGGGTTGGCCTGATGGGATAGGGTTTCGGTGTGGGACTGTGGCCATTCCTGCTCTTTTGCTCGCCGGGTATAAACAGGTGAGCTGTAGACCCTGGTGACCCATCAGCACCGACCACGTGTTAATAAATAAAGATTAGACCATCCTGATTTAGTCTGCCTGCTCTGTCCTCAATACTTTGTGGCTAAGAGCAGCAAAAACCCTGGCATCTCCCTATTGTGGAATTCAAAGCACGCTGTGGACAGCAGGACAGGTCCTGTAATTGCTGGCACTGTATTTTCATTTTCGGCATGCAGATGGTGTTTTGTATTTGCACACATTCCTCGCTAACTCTTTACCTAGAACCATGTGGAATTGCAGGAATTCCCTGCTTGAATATGTTTTATTACAAAGTGCTTTTTGATCCAAGTGACATGTTGAACTTTAAGAGTGACAAAATTAGGGTTGTGTGATCTCTATGTAACTTTCCACATCTCACTACCTGATTACTGCATTTACAAAGTGGACAGAAGAATGTGTGGAATTCCTCATGTGCATTCATTCCCATCTGATAAACATTGCAGGATGGTGGCAGGGTCTTGTGTGGGTGGATAAGGCTGCACAAAGTCAAGACTGTACTTGCACCCACTGCCACAGGAATGTGTACAGTAGCAACACAAGTTACCACTGTGACCACAGTCAGATCCCCCTACAAAGCAGCCCTTGATCGCCATTTTGCTTGAATAGAGTCTGATAAAGGCATTTTGAATTATTTGATCAAGCCATGTAAATTTTGACAGCTTTATTCCTCCAGATTGTGTGCAACAGACCATCGAGTAAGGATGTTGTTTAAAGTGGACTTTGGAATGGAAAATATTAGCTTAATACTTGGCCCACAGTGCATGTTTGCAATCTTAATGCTTCTTTTGTCAGTAATTTTTTTGTTGACAAAAGTTTATTTTGTTAATATGTCTTGTCAAATTTAGCATTGCTCCTCTTTCACTAGGAAACTAAAAAATATGTAAGTTGAAATGGAGGAAAAGCCATTTTAGTGATTATTTCATATGTTTGTGCTAATGAGTACTCAGTTACTAGATGTGCTGAATGATTACAGAAACTGTGTGTTTATGTTCACTTTGACTCCGTGTCAGGATCTCATACATGCTGCAAGCTCTTGGAACGTAGCCCTAAAGCCTGATTCGTGCTTCTCCGTCAGTGCGGAGACACGCAACGTCCCTGCGGGCCTGCCGGAGAGCTCCGCAAGGACGGACGGAGTCGAGCTCTCTTTTCTAAACCTCCGTCAGTCGACAACGCAAGCTTGTAATTGGTCAGGACGCCGCTGTTGTCTACAGCGCCGCCATTGCGCCCTCAAAAACATAAAGAGAGCCAAGGATAACAAGCGGCAGACACGGAGCAGCTTGAAGAATACCTCACGAAAAAACTCTAAAAACATGAATGTTTAATTCTCCCGTGACTGGAGGAGTGAAAAGATGCGCAGCAAGCGTTTTATCTGTGGACGGAAATGACAGGAAACGTGGGTTTAGAGGTGGGGAGCGCATGAATAGGTGGAGGAGAATGAGAGACAAATTTGTTTGTGTTAAAAAGTCTCTTATATACAAAAACACAATACAAACACACTATCTTGGGCCGATACACGACAGGATACCACAGAACAGCGCTACGCCCTCTGTTGTCCTGCCGGGCAATTGCTTTGCAACACTCCCCAGGAGATGGAGAGGTATGAGAGCAAAACGCTTCCGTCAATCCGTGCGTGTCTGTCCCTTGCGGAGCTGACGGAGAAGCATGAACCCAGCACTCTGCAGGTCATTCACTAGGTCCTCGTGTGTAGTTCTGGGGGCCTTGCTCCCCGTTCTTCTGATCATTTTGACCCCACGGGGTGAGATCTTGCATGAAGCCCATGATCCAGGGAGATTATCAGTTGTCATCCACTTTCTAATAATTGCTCCCACAGTTGATTTCTTCACACCAAGCTGCTTACCTGGTGATGATTCAGTCTTCCCAGCCTGGTGAAGGTCTACGATTTAGTTTCTGGTGTTCTTTGACAGCTCTTTGGTCTTGACCATAGTGGAGTTTGGAGTGTTACTGTTGGAGGTTGTGGACAGGTGACTTTTGTACTGATGACGAGTTCCAACAGATGCCATTAATACAGGTAACGAGTGGAGGACAGCAGAAGGAGTTACAGGTCTGTGAGAGCCTGAATTATTGTTTGTTTGTAGGAGAACAAATACTTCCACAATAATTAGCAGAAAAAATTATTTAAAAATCAGACAATGTGATTTTCTGGATTTTGTTTCTCAGAGTTGAGGTATACCTGAAAAACGTAACAGGCCTCCCTCATATTTTCAGTGGGATAACTTTCACAATTGGAGGCTGACTGGGGCTGCCACAGACCACTAGTCGTGTCATGCATAAGGGTAATGCTTTTTGCACCAGGAAGCCTCTAATATACCCATCACTAGCTTCTATTTTGAAGTGTGATCAGTTGTGTGCCATCTAATAATAAAGACAAGATGATGGCTTATCAATCACTTTTTAATTAACTTTGTAACCTGTTAATACAAATGCTACAGCCAAATGGAGGCAGGCGTCTAAAACCAAAATTTTATTGAACACAAAAATTACTTGTGTTCACAAATGTATCCAGCTAAAATTGTCAGTTTTGCTTAGTAACAAACTCGAAGCGGAGCACCTTTTTAAACACTAACATAACGAGATAAAATAAATCATTAGCATTTGTAATGTTAGGGCAAATACATGACTTACATACATGTTCTAAAGGTAGTAAAATCACCATCACTACTGTTGTTACACCGATGAATACAAGTAACTCTGTTGATATTAGCAGCTAACAAGAGGCGATTAGCTCACAGAGGCGACTGTTCATTCTCCGCCATGGCTCGTGCATTGCCGTTGTGTTCCCATGAAAGGACACTATCACTTAGCAGATTTTGCGCTCTACATGCTTTGCTCCCAAACCTTTGAGCTATGTTGCCTACTTGCAATGATGTCTTCTCTGTCTGGTGATTCTGATTCGAAGGCTGATCTGGATGGCCTCTACTGCCCATGCGCCTCGAGCTGAAAGCAGCAGCTGACCCGGGTGGCCACTACTGCCTTAAGCAGAAAGACAGAAAGCTGCTGCCGAAGGTGCCACAGCAGGCGACATTAAAGAAAATACTCAAAGAATAAACATTGTCAACTATTAAATTTATAATCAACTATTTTGTTTGCCGACATCATCGTGATTAACCCACGTATCGTGGCAGCACTAAGGCTGACTAAATATGTTTTGCCCCTTTGTACGTAAAGTGTGAATAAAAAATATCACTGTGTGGGCTCAGCTTGTGTATGCAGATAAGCAGGGGCGCCGAAAATTTTGATAGGGGGTGGCCAGACGAGGCCAAAGACATTTTTGGGGTGACACATGTAATTGTATTGCATTGCTCCTTTATTCATTTTTATTTAAAAAAATGAAATAAAATAAACAGAACGTATCCAAACATTCAACTCAAATTTTACAAACATTTCAGTTATTTTTAATTTTATTCCAAATTTTATGTATTTTTTGTTTAATTCACCTGTTACTGTGTTCACAAAAAAATATGGAGATAAAAATGTTTTCGAAATGGTGAGCAGCAGAAACATATGCATTTTTTAAATTCTGATTATTTCTTTACTCATTAGTTGTACTATTTTTTATTTTGTTTTACAATTATGTCTTGAATAAATAAGATCAATTTATGGTTGGAGTGAACATTAATATGATTTATTAACACTGGGTTTTGCTGGGGGGGCAGCAATTTTCTAGGGGTGGCCATGGCCACCCCTTGGGGGCACCCTTGCAGATAAGGAGAAAAATGTGCCATATTTATAGTGATCCTTTAAACAATGAGCTCTCTTTATCACATTTCTCTTTATTTCCTCTGTTTCCATTGCAGATCAGAGGTCAGCAGTCATTCCTACTTCTATCTCTTTTTAGGAAACATGGAAAGAAACAAAAATGACGTGTGTGTAAACTGAGCTCTGGTCTCTCAGCTTTGTTTTGTTTCTTACTGAAGCCACATCTGCCTTTGTTCTGATTTAGTGTAGGCTCTGTTTAGGAAAACCATGTTTACAACATGATGCTGCTGTCATCAGTGTTTGACTGAATGGATGATAATGAGGTTGAATTTGGTTTCTCATTTCCTACGTTCATAGCTCAACATTGGGGTGAAATGGTTTCATCTTTGTTTTTGGATAATAATGAGACTCCAAATCCTGCCGTTTTCTCCCCCATCTCCTCTAGCTAGCTTCTAGCTCATATAACAGGAGCGCGAGATCGACTCACAAGGCATTGATTTATACTAGACACTACTGCAAATATTTTTATAAAAAAGAGTGAACTTTAAGTGATTTGAGTTTTCTAGACTGCGAAGAGAGTCTTTTACTTCTTATTACCACATTTAGGCGAAGTTGACAAAAAAGGCATTTTTTAAATTGTTTTTTTCTGATTATAATCATTCACCCTGAGTTTGTCATGCAGGCTGAACGTGAAGGAGTCTCCTGCACCAATCTCCTGCATTAGCTTCTGATAGAAAATAGTGATGTGTCGGTCGCAACCGAACCGGCTCTAAGAGCCGGCTCTATGAAGTGAGCCAGCTTGTCATTGGGAGCCGTCATCCCCCCTTCCTTTGGTGAAAGCCACAGGCGATTGGCCAACATGTGTAACTGCATGTCCAGACTGTCCACACACAAAGCAGTGGGCGGGGAAGAGGGAGGATCAGACTGACTACGTTTACATGCAGCCAATATCTGGGTTATGATCGGGTTAAGGTCGGTCGGTTTCTGAGTTGATCAGAATAACCCGTTTACAAGCATAAATAGAAAGAGTTACCCCTAGCTTGCATAACCCGATTTAAATGTGGACGTTGGGGTAGCGTCAGGACGTATGGACTACGTCCAGACGCAATATGCGTCATTTCCGGTTCTTCTTGTTCTGGTATCCGTGAAAACAACAACATGTTTCCCAGTTCGGAAGAGATGGCGACCGCGTTTGTTTGCGCTTTAGTTTCCTCGTCACTCCAAAAGTGTGGTGCTGTGCCGCGACTCACCATGTTGCTCCCAACTTGTTGTTTACTTCCGGTGTTCTGGCGCATACAAAACGTCTCGCTACTCAAAAGACCAAGACTCCTTGCGAACAGAGCATGCGCAGAACACACGCTGTGATGGGGATATCCCGATATGCGTTTACACGGCCAAACATTCGGGTTAGAAAAGAGTTACCCCAGGTGTAGTAACCGGGTTTTTAAAAACCCAGTTATGAGCATATCCGGGTTTTTGGCGGTGTTTACATGGACCTGCGGAACCGGGTTATTGTGAATATTCGGGTTTTAAAAGGGTTACTGGCTGCATGTAAACGCACTCACTCGGACACACACACAGCAGAGCACATGTGGGTGGAGGGAGACGAGAGGGAATGAGGAGGAGGAAAAAGGCGAGCGAGAGAGGAAAGTGCGACGAAGACGGTGAGAAAATGAGCGACAGCAGTCGGAAAGTTGAGATTTCTTAAAGTGTTCAGTTAATAAATCCATATAAATGATGAATATATGATATATTGCATTTTTTTACATTAGTAAATCATTTTACATATAGTATTGCATTATTTTTGGTGATAAATATACTTTACGCTACAGAAAATCTGAGGAGCCACTTGGGAGCCGAAAGAGCCGACTCTTTTTGGTGAGCTGAGTCAAAAGAACCGGCTCTTTAAAAGAGCCATAATTCCCATCACTAAAATAGATGGTGAAACTCTAGGATTTGAAATCCTCTCAGATATACGTCACACTATGAATTACATTCAAGGACTCACCGATCTTGACTCACGATGGAGAAAGCTGGTGTTTTAACATCTGGGAAACAGCAGCGGCTAGTTTGCTAACCGTTAGCATTAGCAACTTTACCACACCGCAGAAGGTTCTCCAGGCTTGTGGTATTTGTGGAGATTAAACATCCATGTTGCAAGTCAGTGGATTCGCGTTGCTTTTAGTGGTTTAACAGATCAAAAAACTCACGGTTTGGATCGGATCACGGTTTTCAAAGGATCGGATCATTTTTTGGATCATCAAAATGAAAAGTAAAGACAAATAGCTTTGCTCTCTCTTTATTTTGTAGAACAATTAGTGCAACATTTTCTGCCCAATTTGCCACTTGCTTTTACAATAGGAATTACAGAGAGGTCCGACTGCTTATTAAATGTTAAAGTGGCTTGCCCTGTAGACACGCTCACTCCCTGCATGTCCAGCTTTCAGTCATATTCTCACCTTTCTCAAGTGCTATTTATTTTTCTGTCCTCCTTTTTTACAGATTTGTCCTCAGCAATATTTACAGGTCCCACCACGTTAATGTAATAATTGTCCCGGGTATTTTTGCATGCTCTGACCTGTCAGACATGTTCTGATGCTAAGAAAGCACTAATTTTTGAATGGGGTAAATGCTATTGTAGGTTTTGTGTCAAAATATGTCCAGGACTACAAATGTGCAATACCAAATGTACATCATTGGACCAGAAACGGAAAAACGAAGAGGAAATGGCTATAAGTTCAGCAAACTTTAAATCCTTCCTTCAGGACGAAAGACTCACCATTAGGGCTGCACAATATTAGGAAAACCTGCAATATTCGATAACAGTGATTAATATTGTGATGACGATATTACTTGCGATAAATTAAAACTTAACTCCAGAACAAAAATGACCAAAAAAGAAAGAAAAAAACTCATAAAAACGAGAAATGCAAAAGATGTGAGGAAAGGGAAAATGAAAAAGAAAAGGCAATCAGTGGATCCTGGGAAAAGCAGAATCAGCTAAAAGAGCAGAACAGAGCTAACTCAGGTGTTTGCTATCCATCAAAATTAAGTGCTATCCGTCGCGGGGGCGGGCATTTAACCTATGAGAACCCACCCAATTGGCCAAATGGGTAAAGAGCTCTATTTGATTTGTTAAAAAAAATAATGCTTCCATTTGATTGACAGAATGCATTATGTTTAGCAAACATTTGAGCTGACCGTTCATTGCGATATTTATCTTTTCTTTGCGAAATACGTATTGTGCATGCTGATATCTCGATAACAAGATATTTACGATATATTGTTCAGCCCTACTCACCATAAATTTGGCCATTTGATAAGTAGCAGCTACGGTAGGGGAGACGTCATATGTGCCAACGTCTGATTTGTAGTGATGCTAATTATGAACTTTTACAAGCTGATGAATGTAAAAGTATGTGGCAGGCGTGGTCGAAACACATAGTTACTTTTCATTTAAATTTAAGTACAACATATGTGTGATTCAGGGCATGAGGCAAAGTTGATTGGAAAATAGCGTTTTTAGTCCCATTTACTTTTTTCGTTCTTCTGGGGACCCATGAGCCGACTGGAAAGGGTGGAGACTTAGGCTCCCTATAAGCTAACCAGAGGAATGCAGACATGTCATCACCTACCGCACAGGAGTGTAACAAACGGGTCGGTTTTCTAATGCGCACACAGACTAGGTTAAAGACTCCCAGTTATTACTAGGGATGCACCAATATGACATTTTTGGGCCGATACCGATATCCGATATTAAAATCACGATTATGGCTGATAACTGTTATTTGCTGATACCGATATACTGGCATTAATGCTTCTAAAAGCAGCAGATTTTAAATAAAATGAAATTTATTAAGGCTGAATTTGTTATTATTTACACACATCACACACGTTTACAATTCTGAGATGATTACAATCACTGTTTACATGACTAAACAAATACACATCCCCCCCCCCCAAAAAAAACAGATAAACAAATGGAAACAAGATGAAAAAAAAAATCGGTTAACTCATTCATTGCCAGCCATTTCCTGATCAGAAAAGCCCTTTGCTGCCAGCTTTTTTCAGTGTTTTTACTGTTTTTTTTAAGAGTCACAGAACGTTGCGTTCTATGATTATGTCAACGTCAAAACAACCAAAACAAAGAGTAGACTCACCTCTTAAATCAGGAAGAATCCGCGCGTTTCGAGCGTTATCCGTTCTTTCATAATACGTTGTCAAATTGTGATCGCCAGAAAGTTTTCCGGTTTGCGCCTCACTTTTTTTTTTTACAGCAGCGGCATAAAAACAACCTCCTAATACATGGATTTTCTGCTTCCTGATCACGTGACGTGTGACGTATGTGGATGAAAATCAGCTTTAGAGCTGGGACGTTTGTTCTCACGGTGCGGGGGCTTGCTCTGACGCCCACACAGTAAAAAAATGGTGCTCTCTCTCCTCACCCCTGTCACGTGGACCTCAAGGGATAAACCATCAACCCTGTTCAATGGTCAACTTTCCTGGCGGGGTCACCCATGAAGTCAGTGGGAGGGTTAAGGGTCATCTGAAGACCCATATGTATGGTCTGGCTTCTATGCAACATAGTTCATGATCGACTCTCCACGTCAGTAGAGGTTTTTTAAGAAGGCGTTGAAGACCCATTATTATAATCTGGCTTTTAAATCTGTGTGTTAACTGATGTTTTGTATTTTGCTGTATTTTTTTATTTGGTTTCCTATATATTCTTTGTTTTTATCTTTTTTTAGTTTAGTCTTGTTCAGCACCTTAGTGACATAATATATGTCTGTAAAGTGCTTTTATAAATAAAGGTGATTATGATGATGATCTTAATAGGTTTAATGTATCTAAATTGTAATAATGCTGTTTTGTTTTTTGTGAATGCCTTTTAATTATATTTTAATCTGCATCTTATATTGAGTGTCATGTCATTTTGCACGTGTTGTTCAGCGTCTTGGGCTTCTGTAAAGGCAGTGGAAGGCGCTATATAAATAGTTTTTTTTTTACCGTGATTGAAGTTACACAACCAATGCTTTGAAAAGTTCAACTTGTCCTGATTTAGACTTTTTCATATCTTAAAATAATGTCAGGATATTTGTATTATGTACGGATGTGATAAAAATGCAGCAATTCAAAGAAGACAAACGTTCTGTTGTGAATTAGTCTTTAAACATGGATGCAATGAGAATTAGACTTACTTCACATAAATATTGTTTTAATTTAAACTACATTCAGCATGTGGTCATCTATTCTGGAGATTGTAGGCTTGAACCACAGCTGTGTGGTATAGGAGTACAAATTGGAGTTGATGAGCCTGTAAGACTTTGTTTGGTCTATGTGTGTTTTTAGAAGTCTTCAGTATGGAGGTCCTCTCTGCCAAGGCCAACAAGAGCTTTCTAGGAATACGTAGCAAGAAAGAAGTCTGAAAGCAGTTACCTTTTAACTTCAAGGCTGCTGAGAGAATTTAAACCTGTAACTAAACTCAGATTTTTTACTGCTCACCTTTGTCCTAAAGCCACTTGTGGTGTCTTTCTATGTGGAGGCTTTGTTTTATGATTGACAAAGTCAACTTAGTAAGACCTTGTTTAGCATGTCAGCACCAGGTGCAGATTATTTTCAGCTGCTCGTTATATTTCAGCACATTTGCACAGACATGGGCACTCGGTGAGCTTACTGCTTTAAATAGGGTCCCATGTGGTTTACGTCAAACTTCAGGACTGAAAACATTTGACTTCTGGGAAGGATCCCCTCTTTGGACCTGAGACGGTGATGATGAGGAGTTAGGATTAAATTTAGTGGAAGTTGTTTCAAATAGGAATGTTTGAGAGGCTTGAGTTTAACAGACTCTTCAGACCTGTCATCAGAGATAGATGTTTTAACTTTTACAAATTTTCCTTTTTTGTTAGAAATGACAGGATGCAACATGTGATGTGACAGCCTTCAGGCTGTATTTTACAATAAAAGATGTTTTAGGATGGAAATACATGAATGTTGTCTGCATTTTCATCCTGTAAATTATTTAGACAGAGGGTCACTGAAGAGATGCTGTCTATAATGTTTGCCTTTAACCAGTCCCCTAGTCCACTAACAGCTTAATTCAATTCAATTCAAAGATACTTTATTAATCCCAGAGGGAAATTAGAGTTTCAGTACACACAATTCCGAGATCAGACATACATACATAGGCATAGACACGTGACAAGAATCGGTGACTGTGGTCATTCGCAACCCGAGTTGCGCTACCTTAATAGAGATCAGAGGGTCTATATGAGGATTGGTTCAGGTGGAGGAAAAAAAGGCACTTCAGAGTTATCCTCCACAGGGAGGGCAGCTTTGCTATGCAAAAAACACCTCAGACAGAAATGCAACAAACCTCAGACATTACACAACATAAGTGTCCACTAGGTGGGGAGGTAGGGTTGGGGACTCTCCACACATCAGTGCATGCAGCCGCGATAAGCAGCGCTCGTCACCTCCGTTTGGACAGGGGAGGGAGGCAGTTGGGTTTAGAGAGCACAGTGACTCCTGGAAACGATTCAGCGGCCTTCACCGGTCACAGTTCCACCCAGGCTGGGATAGGGAGAATCGCCATACACCCAAAGACAGACAAAGAACCTTGGTATAAGATAGGGAGGAGAGGAGGAAAAAAGCCTCTGTACTCTTCAAGAGCCGGAAGAAGAATCGCTCCATGTTGCTTTCTCTATTTCTGTCTGGTCCGCTGTGTGCTTCATACACTCAGTGATTGTTGGAAAATATCATATGTACAAGCGGAGAATATGTGAGTACACCCAGTGTGCTTTTTTATGATTGAAATAAATGTAATACATTTGTATTTGTAATGTATTTTTAATTACTAAATGTGACTTTATGTTTTAAGATTGTAGGATGATTAGTCACTGAGGTTAGACTCAGCTATGGACAAATGTCTGATCCAGGTTTGTCTTGACTTTTGAAATGTTTTTATGTCAAATGTCAAATGCTGTTTTGCGTTAACATTATGTTAATAAAGTTTTATGTAATGTGAGTTGAAGTACTGGCAAATAAAACAGATCCAGACTAAGAGAGGACAGTAAAAGCTAGCGGAATTAATCGCTCAGCCCAAGAACAAAAAGAGTTTTAACATGTAAACACAGATTGTATTATAAAGAAGGTAGGGGTTAGATGCTGGATTATTTTATGTAAGCTACTGATTGTTTAAAGCACAATCTAACACCTCTAAGCCTCTGGAGTGTCACAGTGTGCAGTTGGTGGTCTATTCTGGACGGGCTGGGGATGGATGAGTGGGTGGATTGTGTGATGTAAGGATCTATTTTATTCCTGTGTTGCACAAATCACTTGGTTGAATAACTTTGTACCCCGTCAACCCTGGATAAGATTCAAAAATACTTTCTGCCTGTGTGTTTCTTCGTAAAGCTCATAAGATGTAATTAAAATCGAGCATGAATGAAGAGGATAAAAGAAGTGAAAGCTTCTCACAGACTGGAAGGTTGTATTTTTACTGTAGGGTGAGGACGTATCTTTGGAAATGGTCTTGTTCACTAAGCAAAGGTGTAATGTTTGTTCTTTTAGAAATACGATTGGCCACTCTGAGTTTCACATGCGTGCTGAACGTGAACATTTTCTTCAACCCTTAGTACCTGCATTAGCTGTAGAAAGGAAGTAGATGGGGAAACGATCGGGTCAGAAAAAGCCACTTTCTTCTACGTCAAAGGAAAAATTAGCATTCATGACGTCCCCGCCTTGGCGTCCGACATCGAGAGGCTGTGCTGATTTTGCAGCCAGGAGAGAGCAAAGCATGTCTCGGCTAGCAGAAGCTAACCATTAGCATTATCAACTCCACAACATGGCGGAACATGTTCAGGCTTGTGTCATTTATGAAAATGACACACCAACATTGCATTTTTTGCCCAAGAAAGAAAAACAAACGAGCCAGCAGAAGAGTTGCATTGCTGTTGGAAAAATCAGAGGCAAGACATTTGCACGTCATGAGTTTTAATGAGTCAAGACCCTGTTTTCTCTCCCAACTCTGACTATAATCAACCCCCTGACACAGGAGCGCAAGAGCTTTTTTTCCTCTGATAACATCTGACAAGACATTCATTCATAGAGTATTGGGGGGAACAAAACAAGTGAATGAGACCTTTATTGTTATTATTACCCACCACTGAACGTTAGGCGAGAATGTTTTTGCCCGCTTGTCTGTTAGCACAACACTAAGTGGATTTAAATGAAAGTCTCAGTGACGATGGCCACCACAGCTAATCAGTCTTGGTGACACAAACAATCGATTTTCCATATTTAGAAGTAATATTTATCTACATTCATGCTTAACAGAGTGTTTATAACATTGTTAAAAATATTTGACCAAACTGGCTTTAAGATCATTTCTCTTCTGTGAGAAATCCAAACACATCCACAACTCCTCCTGCTCATGCTGGTCACCAGTATGGTCACATGTTCCAGTGGAATGACGTCCCATTCCTCAACCAGGTGTTTTTGAAGGTCAGTCATTGTGGTGGTTGAGGTCTCTCCAGTACATGTTCAAGCTGCCCTGGAGCTGTCGGTCTGGAGCCAGACACCTCTGACTCGTTAAGTTGTGTTGCTTGTTCCACATTTACATGACTCCTACAGGTTACACTCCACTTGTTTTCCTTTCAGCTGTTTTCAAAGCAAGAAGAATATATTTTGAGCTACACAATGAAAGCATCTTGTCTTTTAGATGCATTGCTGGCGGACCTAGAATCTACAACGTCCCACATCTCAAAGCGACCAGTCTTCTTGCCAAACGAGACACCCTACTCCATCCCCACAGGTGGACAAACCCACCAAGATGTGTCGGTTCCTCCTCCAGTTCCTCCTCCACCCTCTGCTGAAGCTTTGAACGGCTCCCTGACAGACCAGCCAGACTCCCACCACTCCTCCCAGCAGGTAGGGTTTTATTTTATTTTATTTTTGCTCCTGAGATAAAACTCAGCTTCAGGTTAGTTTCAAGAGTAATGACTGGTTTGTCTTTTGCAGTCTTTGGGTTCAGGACAGAAGAGCTCTTGGTCCAGGGACAGTAGCAGTTCTCCACTATCACACTTTGAGGAGGACCACGTTTACAGGTGTCATGAGATGCTGTGTAGATTAAAAAAAGACCACACTGAATGTTTTATTGTTACCTTTTATTTACTCTTTCTGTGTCCTCTTCAGTTTTCCAAACAAACACAAGACATCAGACTCATCAGCAACCATGACCTCTGCTCTGGGCAGTAACCTCTCAGAGCTGGACCGGCTTCTGCTGGAACTCAACGCAGTGCAGCAGAGCTCCCCGTCCTTCCCCACCACAGGTAGAGACTGAAAGTCTCATTGTCTACTCTGTCCTTTGAGGGACATTTAAGTCTATTAAAAGCTGAGATTATTCTGCTGTTTCTCATATATCGCATTTCTGGTCCCGCTTTGTTAAACACCCCTTTTCCTCTCTGTCCTGTTCCGATCACCTCTACTTACATTTCTGTTGAGTGAGACAACAGAAGAAGAGGAATATTTAATGTAATTTAGAAATAAGACAAAGAAGTCTTCATCTCTCCTTTTAATAAGCAGTGTTGCTAAACAAGTGTTGCGTGTTCCCAGAAGAGGCAGCTCCAGCTCTACCGTCCAGCAGCATCACCCACTATGAGAATGGCAGCGCCCCGGATATTCTTGTTAGCCCCCCACCACAGGAGAAACCAAAGAGGAATGGTACAAGGTCGGAGGAGTCTCGACCCACAGTAGAGAGTCTGTTGGATGAGCTGGAGGGCTCGGTGCCTCCACCCAGGTAAAAGATCTTAGTTAGGGGCGGAGTCTCTTCCGTTACGGGGACTTTTAAACAGTGATTTGTAGAAAGGGCCTTTATTTGTGGTCACATGGACATGACCTATCTAAGCATACACTTCTTTTTCCATGTCTCAGTAATTCTCATGGTACATAACTTGTGTGTGGTTATAAGTAAAGTGAAGTTTGAATTAATATTTGTGTTTTCCAGCTCCTCCACCCATCACAGTGATTTGGATACATCACCTCAGCATCAAGCCAGAATTTCAGCTTCCTGTGCCACCAGAGAACTAGATGAACTGATGGCATCTCTTTCTGATTTTAAGGTACCAAGGTGGCATAACGGGACACTAAAATGGATTTTCTTCATTAGTAAAACTTAAGCCTCTCCTGAAATATTTCTGATGATCTCTTTCGTCTTCTTATTCTTCTTCTGCTTCTCTTTTCTAGCCCAGTTCTTTGGGCTCGCTGCTCGACCCTGCAGGGGCATCTTCCACTTTTCATCACTCTCCAGTGTCTTCCTCTGTTACTCGAGTGACTTCTGCCTCCCTTAATCTGTCCCATCCACCTGCCTCTGCTCTCCTCCCTCTTCCTGCTGGTCTAGAGCTGCACATAGATGAGGATGGAGGAGATGGAGGCATGTTGGTGCCTCGTCAGTGCCGTCTCACTCCCCACAGTCCTGCATCCTCCCTTTCTGCAGCCAGTGACACAGACCTGGACTCTGCTATAGAGGTCTCTTCTGCTATGCTATCTTCCCAAACAAAGATCCTGTTAGTCCGCTCTCAGTCGGCTCCCTCTAATTCCAGTTTGTTGGGAAACAGCTCAAGTCCCTCCAACACCACCACCCCCTCCCTTACCTCGGTTAACACTGTTCTGGATCGTAAGAGCCCCAAGTCCTCCAGTCCCTCTGTGGAGCGGACCTCACCCTCATCCACAGTTGGTAAAGTGTCCTGTCCTCCTGAGTCTCTGAACAAGGGGTCTCCTTGTTTTCAGGACCATGACGTAAATTTCACCACTCCACCTTTTCCAAAGAGTCTCTCCCCTCCCCTATCCACACCTTCTCCCTTCCTCGTTGCATCGTCTGCCTCGCCAAGAACCTACTCGCCATCTGCCTCCTCTCCACCGATGGTCCCCTCTCCGCTCGCCTTGTCCAGCACTAGCAGACAGCTGTACGAGGTGCCAGCTGCAGCTCAGAGAGATGTCCTCCTGACAGAGCAACAGGCCCTTGGTGTCGAGCCCTCCCTCGATGAGGTGCTGGACAATCTGCTTGCAATGAGCTTTACACAGAATCATACAGATACGAACAAGGAGGCGAACGATTCTAGGAAAAGGCTGCAGGAGGTACAAGAGGAACTTATTCTGGCAGCAGACAGAAACTGTGTGCAGCCTGACACTTTCATCAGTACCACCAACACCCTTACTGATGAGTCTGTGGACGGGGGCACCGATGGGAACGGTGACCTAGACTGGGCAGATGAAGAGCTGTCCGTGTCCTTCCATGATGGTCTAGATGGCACAATGACACCTTACACCGAGAGGCCGTACACAGATGGCAGCATGACTCCACTGACTGAAGCCAGTTGGATGGATGAGTGTACGACCCCCTCCTCGTGCCCCGGGACCCCTGATGTAGCCCTGGATCTGCCCCTCCTTCAGACTCCCAGTATAGACAGAGTCTCTGCAACAGGACATGTATGCACCTGCACTCCACATTGATTCTACCTAATTGGATCGCATCTTTTATGCATGCTAGCCTCTGCTGTGAGTGTTTTTTATTTTTTTTACACAATAAAAAATAATGTAGTATTTATTAACTAAAATGGCCACTGGTTCCATTCCTCACATTCTCAATCTTAAGATGCAGCAATGGTTTTTATTAGCATCCTTTTAACAACTTACACGCCTTTTTATATACTACCAAATATGTGTTTTGTTACTGTATGTTTTTCTTAAAAAATGACATCCACATAATTAAATAAAAGCTACATGAGCTATCTGTCTAACAGAAAGGTTTTGGATTGTTGCTGCACTCACTATTAACTCACTGTGAGGCAATAATTATTGTTGCAGTCATTCAGAGTGAAGGACTCATGCAGCCTGTTTGATGAGGATTTAGTGGTTTTGCTTGAGAAACTGGGCAGACTGGGTGGAAGGTTGTTGAGTAACAGTAATTTCTTACCTGAGATCCATTAATTGCATGAGTGTGATCTGCGCTCTGAACCCCACAGCTCTCTGGTATGTTGCTTGAGCTGCTTTGTGAGTCATAAAATGGAGTTAAAATAAGCTGATCACCATTCCCCCTCAGATAAAAGCTGTGATCAGGCGCACTAAGGAGATTCCCAATGTGCATCCTATGTTCCGAGAGAATCTCCTGCGACGAAAGATGGGACCCGTCATTGTAAATAAGAACTCATCTCAGGACCGCCTCATAGAGGAGCTTCAGGGTAAACTTGGAATCGGCCGCTCCGAGCGCCGCCACAAACCGTCAGATGAGTGGCTGACGGAGGGCGTCATCGTCACATCTAAACCTCAGCGATCTCATCATGAAGACTTTGGGAATGAGGTCGACAAGGTTGGCTTTGGCGTGCTCAACAGCCGGATTTCATCTAATAATTTTCAACTAACTTTCTTTCTCTGGCTGTCTCCATTATCTTCTCCGTCTCCTCCTTCTTTTCTCTCCTTTAGATCATAATCCCCCCTGAGTCACCCGGTGCTCTCAGGAAGCTCCTACCACCACTCTCACCCCCTACCTCTTGTAGCTCTGCGGTTGTAGACGGACCTAATGGACCACTCCCATTTCAGCTGCCCCCTATTCCAATTCCACCACCACCTCCACCACCCGTTACTATCCTTCGTCAAGCCATCCGCAATCAGGACCCACCTGCACCTCAGCAGCTTTTAAAAGCCACACCTCCACCGCCCCCACTTCATAACTTTCCTGCCCCTAAACAAGGGCCCCCTCCCCCTGCCCGCCACACCCCAAACCGACCTCCACCAGTGGAGCCGGCCCCACCAGCTGCACCAAAGGTCCTAGTGTCTGTAGGCTGCCAAACAGAGTATGACCCAGTCTTCCCTTCCATTCAGGCATGAGTCCTCATCTCTTGTTGCTTCTGTTTTCTCATGTTAGATCTTTGAGTTTAAGAATCTGGAAATATTTTAGTTTGTATCAAACTTGCATGACTGTGATAACTATTTAGACACTGGTTCATTTCAGATCATGGCCCAAGGGAAAGCTGCTGGTCCTGGTGGGCCCCCAACACAGGTCAATAAGCTGGACAACATGCTTGGAAGCCTGCAGTCTGACCTGAACAAACTGGGGGTGCAGACGGTGGCTAAAGGGGTGTGTGGTGCCTGTTGTAAGCCAATTGTTGGACAGGTGAGATAAAGATGTTATTTCTCGAAAAAAATCCCGGTACGCTGAGAAGTAAAGTTTCAAGGTGCCTGTACTGCTTACTGGTGCGTGCCAGCCACTTAAAGCACTGGTTACTTAAATAAGTAAAAATGTTTCGATTATGCACACAAGATCCATATTGCCTCTCCTGTTGGCTCAGGTGGTGACCGCCATGGGCCGCACGTGGCACCCTGAACATTTTGTGTGTACACACTGTCAAGAGGAGATTGGTTCCAGGAACTTTTTTGAGCGAGAAGGTCAACCTTATTGTGAGAAAGATTACCACAATCTGTTCTCTCCACGATGCTACTACTGCAACGGGCCCATACTGGATGTGAGTTGTCACTTTTCTCGTATCGGGGCTTTGCTGTAAGGTTTTCAGTCTGTAATAACTGCTCTCTCCTTTCAGAAAGTGGTAACGGCACTGGATAGAACCTGGCATCCTGAACACTTCTTCTGCGCTCAGTGTGGATCCTTCTTTGGCCCCGAGGGTATAGGATTCACGGGGATCACAGTATGAGTAGATTATAGGTGTTTTGCATTATGGACTGATGAGCTTCTGATTTGCCTTCAAAGGTTTTCATGAAAAGGATGGAAAAGCCTTCTGCAGGAAGGATTACTTTGATATGTTTGCACCTAAATGTGGAGGCTGCGCCAGAGCCATTCTGGAGAACTACATCTCTGCACTCAACTGTCTTTGGCATCCAGAGTGTTTTGTTTGCAGGGTTTGTAATTCCATTTGGATCATTCCCTACGTTACTGTGCTTAAGGAGAAGACTAGAATTACAGCATTGGTCTTTGTGTTCCTGCAGGAGTGCTTCACCCCATTTGTGAATGGCAGCTTCTTTGAGCACGATGGCCAGCCCTACTGTGAAGTGCACTACCACGAGCGTCGGGGCTCCCTGTGTTCAGGCTGTCAGAAGCCCATCACAGGGCGCTGCATCACAGCCATGTCCAAGAAGTTCCACCCGGAGCACTTTGTCTGTGCTTTCTGCTTGAAACAGCTCAACAAAGGCACGTTCAAAGAACAGAACGACAAACCTTACTGCCACGGCTGCTTCATCAAGCTGTTCAGTTAGAACCCCGTCACAGTTCATTCAGGCCTTAGATCAGTGGGATTATATTTCTTTTTGATTAAAGAAAGTGGTCTAGTTATCTGATGATGGTGTTGGAAGTGTGTGTAAGTTAGATATGTGCCTGACTCCTTTAATATTTTCTGAAGTAAAAAAACTTATAATCTTAGCAACATATTTCTGCAGCTGTTTACAGTCCGTCAGTGATTGTGATGCAGATGTTATTTGCATTTCTGTGACATAGAATGTTTTCCAAACAGCAGAAACAAGTTTTTTTTTTTAAGAATAGAGAAGATTTATTTTTCTGGTCCTTGCATGTGTTTGTTGGAAAGGTTGGAAGGCCAAGAGCTCTATATCCCCAGAATGGTTTCAGGTCTTTGCTTCTATCCTTTCAGTAGGTGGAGAATTTGTACTGAACACTATGACACTGAACTCTATGAAGAAGTGTGTGTGTGAATGCGTTTGTGCGTGCGTGCGTGCGTGTGTGTGTGTGTGTGTGTGTGTGTGTGTGTGTGACATTGTTGCTCACTGGTTGAGTGTCGTTTTAGAGACCATAATGTAATGAACAGGTGACCTGTTATTTTTAGCTTTACGATATGAATTTTTATTACAACCAGTGAGAAAAAATGTTTTTAGACTATTTTTCTTTTGTTGTAGTCAGTCAGTTTAACCCGCGTTTAACTCTTAACTGGAAAAAGACAAGCTGGGTTATCTTTAAGTCTATGAAAACTATCTTGTGGCTCTTCTGTGTGTCACTTTAGAGTAAAACCCATATGTATGAAAATGTGTGGATATCTTGTTACAAATCGTCAAATCTATGGATAAATGAGTCTTTAATCTTTTTTAAAGTTTATTCAATCGTGATCAAAACTGATTATCTCTAGCTTAAAGTAACCAGCACTTGTTGGTTTTTAATCTAAATCAGTAATTTTCTATTTCAATCTAAAAGATAATTTCTTATTTTTCTAGGGGAAAATAGCAAACCTTTTTCACTGAAGTGGTGGAATTCTTGACATTACTTGTATTCCTGACTAGGTACCGGGAAGTTTTTGTAAAAACAAAGTAATATTACGGTTTGTTTTGTAACCACTTGTACAGTGATGAAGAGGGTTGTGCAGAAGAAACTGATGCTTTTGCTGTGATTACTTTATTAAGACACTGATGAACAATACACTATTTGTGAAATCCCAATAACTGTGCAACTATGGATTCACTCTGTTGTGCTTTTAAATCAACACCAGGCTTCATAAAATCCCACTTTTGTGTTGCTGTGCTAGTCTGAGTCCAGTGAGTTGTATTGGTCAGAATGTCCCAAATCAACTTGTTGAACCTACTGTATGAGCACTAGCTTGGGTCTCTATCAGTATTTTGTCCTTTTTTTCAGGGAATTTTAGAGCCGTCTTCCACTATTTAAAATGTTATGTAACAGGTGTCTGTTCAGATCAGTGTAGTAGAGCTTTATTTAACCAAAACTATACCTTCAAATAATTTTTGTCTTGTATTTTTTTCCTTTCTTTGGTTTGAATGTCCATATATCTGAATAGTGAATATCATCAATTCTACTTTAAGCAAATAAAATCCGTTTTCCTATCAATGTGTTTTTCTGAATTTATTGAATCCTTTGAAAATTATTAGTACAACTCTGCAAAGTGTTTAGGAGCATTTACAAGAAGTGTTTCTACTAAGGAACTCCTTTAACTTTATAAATCCAGTTCCTTCTTGTCCTCCTTAATATTCCCCAGAGGACAAAAAAAAAAAGATTCAGATTTTTTTAAGATCAGGAGGCCAAAATATTCCCTTATAAATGACTAAAAAGAAGAGGCATGTAGTACCAGCTTTTAGACACTAGAGGGCAGCAACTCCTCCTCTTCCTTTTCCAAATGATGTTGGAAACTCCACTGGCATATATTTCATTTTCTTTGTTCAATTTTGTATGAAATTTGTTTGTATACTTATCACCTTGTTCAATAAAGTTTTGAGAAAAAAATGATGTTGGAAACCAGTGTTGTTCTATAGGTTGCCAGCAGAGGGCGCAAATTCTCCTTTCAAGAAAACAAAACTGGAAATTTTTTGATTACGTTTTTCGACCGTGGGACACATATGTTCATTAGGCACTGAATAAATGTAAAATATAATTCTTAATAAATTTTAAACTTCTACATTTTATGATTTACATCACTGAAAACATTAAGTTGTTTTAAATATTTGAAGCACATAAATTTGCAAGATTACTTTCAATATTAAATTCACTTCTTCAAATAGAAAAATATGCTAAGAATGTATTTGGATATCAGAAAGAACCCAAAATAATCCTCAGTAGCTCTTCTCAAGACTACAATGTCATTTGATGTTTCAAAGTCATTATTTTGATACAGAAAAATCTTGAATTTACCCTCAACCTTTCATTCAACAAAACTGGACTTAAGAGGGCAGCAATTCTCCAATGCTACATTCACGTTGTACACATTTAAACAGAGAAGAAGAAAATTAGTCATCTTCCCATCACTGATTGGACAAAGTTCACGTGATGACACCCGGAAGAATGACAAATGTTTATCGCTGAGGTTTTGTAGTAAGTCAACATTTTTTTACTTAAGTGGGCCAACAGTCAACAAGATTTAAGTATTTTATTTGCCATATGTTTCTCTTAAAAATGTTTTTAATCTTTAATTTCCCGAAACCTTTGCGTCAGAAAAATACGATGATGTAAACTACTGTTCAAACCGGCGACTAGTGTCGATAGTTGAAACGATCTTGTTTGTGAGAGGTTGTTCTGTTCGTGTTAGACACTAATTACCTTTACAATAACACTACAGACTACTGCTGTGAGTAAACACAACTGTATTCAGTTTATTGAAGCATCTGTCTAGAAATGTGTGTCAAAGTAGTGCTAAAATGTTCATTTTTAAAAATAATAAGTGAATTATCTGCTGTTGCAGGTTTCTTGATGTGAAGAACACGGAAACTACTAAAATGGCTTCATACTTTGATGAACATGACTGTGAACCCACTAACCCTGAGGAGCAGTATCGCCAGAATGCTCTATTAGAACTGGCCAGGTACTTGAACCCACCTGGATCATGGTTTATCTGCAGGCTCCAGCCCTGACTCGTGTCTTTGTTTCAGGTCTTTGATGCAGGGTTTGGACTTAATGGACTCTGGAGTGTTCGACTTGTCAGACTGGGACCAGCGGCTTCCTCCTCCAGCTGCCAAAGCTGCTATTCAGACCCTCACTGTGGTCGTCATTTCCCCAGAACAAGCAGGTTACTTTAACATTTCTGATTATGACGTGTTGGTGTGTTAAAGAAGCCCGTATGTTAGGCAAATGTATAAGATTATAGACTTTAGGAGAGACTTCATTTTGTATTTGTCCTCACAGATAAAGGTCTCAAATGTCCTGTGTGTCTGCTGGAATTTGAGGAACAAGAGACCGTTAGAGAAATGCCTTGCAAACATCTTTTCCACTCAGGATGCATTCTGCCTTGGTTGGGCAAGGTAAAGCTCAAGCGTAATCTGTAAAACAGTTTTTTTTTGTCTTGAAAAAATCCTTAAAAAGCTTTTTTATGTTTCGAACATAGACAAACTCCTGTCCACTTTGTCGACTTGAATTGCCAACTGACAATCCAGAATATGAGGAGTTTAAAAAGGACAAGGTGAGTCTGTGGTGCTGTTTGTTTGTTGTTTTCAGTGTGAATATTGTTTTTCTGTCTTTAGGAGAGAAGAAAACAGAGGGAACACCGTCTAGAGGACCTACATGGAGCCATGTACACCTAGTGCTTCCACCTACTGAGCCCTTTAAAAGTTTCTAGTATCAATGCAATTTTCTCAATTTGCAAATAGAACTCAAAATAATCAAGCTAACTAGCAACTATTATACATGGATTATTTGTTTAGATAAAAATCTCATTTCAAAATAATTACACAGCGGTTTAATAATGTTGGAATGTTGTGACAACACCGGCAGGAGCAGGTGCTGCTTAATCAGTGAATATCAGTGAAGACTCGGTCACCTGAAGGATGGTAGCTCTGAATCTTTATTCAAATGTGAGAACTTGAAGAGCATAAAACTGTCCTTGTCTGATTTATGTGGAAATATTTATGAAAACTTCTAATCAGTTATGACTTTTTTACAGTTGAATCAACAACAAATACAATGAATTCTTAAAGTTTTTGTGCACATTTGTTACTGAAGGCCACATTGTGCAGAAATGCTCACATCTTAGGAGCAGGTTGAACCTTTTATTGCTCTCCTCCCTCCCTGCTGTGCTTCGTGTCAGCTTTCCTGTAGTAAGAAAATGTTTCTGCATTTGAATGTTACTAAAAAAAAACAAGTTGAGCTGAAAAGCCGGTGGACAGTTTACTCTAAAACGAACAGGTAATTCAAACTTACCGAGTTTAAACTTACAATTCTTTAATTTAAAGGATGTCCAAATTAACAGCACTTTGTTTTAAGTACTAAAGAGACATTTTAGTTTCATGATTTTCCCTCTACAGGGTCACGATGGAGCGGTGCTATAATTAAATATTCAGAGGCAGTTTTAACCACAAAAATCAGGAACACCATAAAAACTTTCTTAATAATTTATCATTTTTATTTAATATTTGAATATAAATCTCTGTCAAATGAAAATACCTAAATGATAGACAAAAATCATACATATTTACAGGATTTATAAAAACAATATTTTGTGTTGACTTGTTTTCAGACACCTTTACAATTCTATAATATAGTTTTCAAATCCTAGGGAAATAGTACATTTTATAGACTTTGTTTCTGTGTTAGGTTGTGAGTGTTCACGACATGTTAAAAAAACTAATTCAGGCAGCCTTCTAAAAGATTCTCACGAGAACATCGTCTTAATGAAGTGAACAAGAAAATCAACCATGTGCTGTAATATTTGGCATGTGGTATAGTAATGGTCAGAAGCCGTTTCAGCCCTGGTGTGAGGGATCACACAAGCTGCCTTTTGGAGTCGCACTGACTTGGTTACCGTTTGGTGAAATAGGCTACAGCGGGACAAAAGTTTACAAAAGAAAAACAATTTGGCAAAGTACAAAGGATAAGGCTAAACAGTACCGTTTATACCAGTTCACACACCTACATACAGAAGAAAAGCACTGTGGATCCCAGTCTTTTTGGCAAGGTTTGCTGCAGGCCAGCAAATATTCAGGAGTTGAAGCGTTTGCAAACAAAGAAAACCACACGATCGTGCAGCTTCAGTTAAAGCGCTCTGCACTCCTGTTATCCTCACACATCTTCAGACATTTGACTGAGCTGTTGATTCCTGAACCACCAATCAAAGCACAGGAATAAAAACTTAAAATACAGCTTTCACCTTTTTTTACATCAATCCCACAAAAGGAAAGAGGTAGGAGACGTGAGCTTTCAAAGAATGTGTATTGCTGGCATCTGGTGTGGTAAATTAAAATATATGAACCTAATGAGGACAGAATACTGGATGTTTAAGTGCTTTATGAGCCCTACTTCACCACGAAATGGCTCCGTTTAAATGAAACGCTGGGCCTGATGAGTCTGCTTTAGTTTCAGTAAATGTGGCAGTTTGATGTTCGGCTAGTTTACAACAGTAATAATCCGCTTGAAGACCGCTGGGGGAAAGCTCCCTGCAGCTTCTGAAAATGACTTCACGTGTAAAAAAAAAAGAAAAGCTAGTTTTTTTTATTAACTTAAATAAGGCTTCCAAGGATCCAGCCTGGAATCAGATCAGTGTGTGGACATGAACTGTTATACTGTAAATACATTAGTCAGGTTATAGTTTTACCTTCACACACCTGTTTACATCAGAGTTGTAGGCCACTTATTCTGAACAAGAGCCCGCGCTCACCCCAGACACACACACTCAAAAAAGGCATTGCTCACTCCAGTGGAGTGTTAATTATTGGATGATTGTAACTTTGACATTTTATGTCACTTGTTTTATGCCATGGGCGTGCAAAAATAACTGAAACATTAGATCATGCAGTATGAGGAACTAAACAACAGCAATGGAGGCGATTTTGACCCTCATCTTAATGTAATTATGACAAAACACTTTTTTTGGACTCAAGTGAATGATTGAAACTAATATTTAGTAAAAATCGTTATATTACTTGCATTCAAATTAAGAGTGCAGCTATATGGTTCAGTGAACTTGATGATTACTGGTACCTTTCAAGTAGTTTATGCATGATTGAGTAAACAGGCTCACAGCCTGTGAAAACGTACTAGAGCTACTGACTTCTCAATATTCATCATCTTCTATTTACGATGCAAAAATCCAACAGAAACATTTTGTTTTGACGTTCAAGAGGAGTGCCGTGCAGAGATAAACAGGCCAAGAAAGGTGGGCCAAGCAAAGCATTATGGGAGGGGAAGAGACAGTGAAACGTTGGGGACAGGAAAACTTTCTGTTCTCATCACGACGCCTGTGATCAGAGGAGTTTAAAGTAGAAAAGGTCCTGATTGATTCTCATGCAGAACCGTCCATATCTGTGTTGGAAAATATTCATGTTCCAGTGTTCAGACTGGTTTCCTACATTCGATCTACTTTCCAACACTACAGAGAATGCAACTGTAGCAATCTGGAAACAGATTCAACAAAGAAAACAACCAGATTGAGTTGCATCAACAACAGAAAAACCTGGTTTGAAGTTTCAAGATAAAAGGGTTTTGCTCTCTTCCTCCACATGCTGCTCGTCTTCCTGTGGGAGCCTGTGATGCACCTCTGCAGGAACTTGTCGTGAGAACGGAGCTACAGCATAGCTATGCTCTCTGGGGTACAGTTGAGATGTGTGGATGTGCTGCTTCCTCCGGGGGACTTCAGACCCTTTGTCACCCCGCCCAGCGTCGAGGCCCGGGACATGGGGTCCATGATGACTCCTGAGCCATGGTGGCTCTGCTGCAGGCCTGCCATCATGGTCTCAGTGGTGACGGTGCCAAACTCGTAGGTGAAGGTACCGTAGAAGACCAGGATGTCCACAGTGAAGACCCACTCGCAGATGGCTGCAGCGTGCTGAAGGATGAAGCTCTCATGGATAAAGAAGATGCCACCTGAGAGGACAAATTAAGGAGGACCAACATCGCTGGTAGAGACGAGAACTAAAAACAATAGACCTGAGCCTAAACAACAGACGAGGGAATAATCTGATGAGCCTGACGGACTTTGTTTTATCTTTTATACAAAAGGGTTTTAGATCAGGAGATAAACATTAGTCAAGCCCGGAGTCCTCATGCAGATTGTTCAAACATCTGCAGGACGCGACCGTGACTCATGAAGGATACTGAGAACGAGGGACACCATGGCTCCCAGCGCTAGCGCCACCCGGACATGAGCCATCCAGTAGTCGAGGGTGGTCATGGCCACTCGGTAGGTGAGCACACACTGGAGGCATACGAACAGCAGGCCTGCTGGAAACGCAACACCAGCACCCACATAATGGAGGGATTTAGCATGGTCAACCTGTGGGCCAGAAACAGTCAGTCAGGAGGACACCTCCCACAGGCTGGAAAAAGCACGCTGCTGCTTACCTGGAAGTTTCCCACCATGACCAGACCAACGCCGTTGGCACAGCCGCTCACCAGAGCGCCAGTATTAACCCAGCTCTGGTGGCTGTGTTCGATCACCTGGGCGTAGCGCAGAAAGCACACCATCACCACTGCAAGAGACATACACACACACACACACACACAAAAGCCAAACACACAATTCAAACGTCAAAATCACAGGATTTAAACTTGGATCAATTTAGATTCTTACTTTTTTAACTCTTATTGAAAGATTTTCCGGTTTACAGATGCAGCCCAAGTGCTGCTCCAGATGAGAAAGTAAAAGAGGTGAAAGTGAAGAAGTGATAGAAAAAACAGCTGGGGTGGTGAAAACAAGGCCAGAGGGCAAAATGGGGCAGAAGTGACTGGTGATTAAAGAAGACAGGAGAGAAGAGTAGAGTGTGTGTGTGTGTGTGTGTGTGTGTGCGTGCGTGCGTGTGTGTGTGTGTGTGTGTGTGTGTAAAGCTGCATTCATTATTAATGAGACAGCAGCCCCACCTGTAACTCATAAGGGCCATCAGCACTGCTGCATCCAGAGAGGACAGACAACTAATCCCATAATAGTCTCACAGCTCTTTCACATGACAAAGGTGAAAATCCAGTAAGGTGTTTTTAAAAAGGACAATTTAGGTTTTTGGGGAAGGTAACCTAGAGAAGATCATTGCTAGGGTGCACTGTTTGCAGTTTTTGGCCAATCACAGATCTTGTGAAAATCCTGACTTGCTGATAGCGATTTAGTCTCAACTAAAAGATTACGTCAATGTTTCAATTTCCTTTTATTGAGAAAACCAACACGTTTCAACCGGACATGAGGTAATGTTCTCAAACATAAACGAACATATTTAGGATTGCTGTCTGAACTACAAAATCGTATTTGTTCCTTTAGACTTTCATATTTCTAATTTTGAAAACAAAACTTTTTGCTGGGTTTGACACACATGAACAAAAATTATTCTATAGCAATGATTGGCTTTAACATCAACTACGGCTGCACCGATTACAGATTTTGGCCGATCACCGATCTTTAAAAAAAAAAAAAAAACGAGTTCTGGGCCGATCGATCGGTGCAACTCTAATCATTTCATTGTTCAAACGTGGAAAACTGGTTCTAGTGAATAATGTACAAAGTTCATGTTCGCCTACCAGATCCTCTAAAGCAGCAAACTATCGCTTTATTTCTGCTTCATTTAATCTGTGAAATTAAACATTTCCTCTGCAGAAACAAAGTATTTAAGATGAAACGTACACAGCTCCTGTAGAGACACATTATTATTCATTAGTGAGCTGCTGCTGGTTAGCTCAGCCAGGCTATCAGTTAGCCGACGTTTTATGTTAAACTAATAAATGCCACCTACAGGTTGTAAACAGAGAGCACTTAAAGAGTAAATTCATTTCAATCTGGTGTGTTAAAGATGTATCACAGGACACACACATATTTGTTTATGCCAAACCAATGAACCAAGAGTGTTAGTAGCCAGTTAGAGACACAAGAATGTTATATGACTATTTCCAGTTTCATGCAGCACTGATGTGACTTCTTTTTCTTGCATCACTACAGCGTGATGTAGCTACAAACACGTTTTGACTGACATGCAAGCTTCAGGATAACGTTCTTGTTGCAGTTCAGTCAGAAAAATGTCTTCATTATGACTCAGTTTGTAGTTTTGCTGGCGAAGTTTCACACGTCTTACACTAAAACTAAGCTAAGAGGACGTCCAAACTCCTGCAACAACTGCAGGGCCAGTTTGGGAGGAAAATAAACTAAACAACCCAGAAGGCCTGAGACTCATCCTCAGAATGTGAAGTTTCCAAAAGAGCCTCGTGATGTGTCACATGATTACTGAACAAGTTTAGCAAGACTGAATGTAGTTTCAAGGAACAAAAGGAGAGAAACATTTTCCTCGAAACATTTTCCTCGTGTTATCCAGCGATAGAAAAAGTTCTTATTCCATCTTTCAGTTCTTTTTAAAACACAGAAAAGGTTTATTTACCTGCAATGTTTCGTTTGCGGCTGCAATCATCATCAGGCTGACGCCGATGGTGGCGCCACTTCCTTCGTTTATCCGCAGGCAGCAGAGGACGTCGTCGCCCTCTACTGCCCGCTCTCCCCTCTCCGATGATGCAGTCCCATGCACGATCCAGTGTGTAGGCCCCATCGTCTCTGTTCATGGTCCCACATCCACGTCTTCTTATCTCGATAGCTTCTTTTATCCATCTTTTGTATTTCTGTTGTTCGGTGTTTTTGATCCTTGTGTTGTCCCAGTCCATGACATGGTTTTCTCTTATGCAGTGATCTGTTACGGCTGACTTCTTTATTGTACTTTCTGCTTCTTCTTTCACCGCTCATGTGTGTGTTCGACTTGCCTCTTTCTCTTGCAAGTCGAAAACACACAACTCGTTGGATCGTGCATGGGACTGCATCATCGGAGAGGGGAGAGCGGGCAGCAGAGGGTGACAACGCCCTCTGCTGCCCGCGGATAAACGAAGGAAGTGACGCCACCATCGGCATCAGCCTGATGATGATTGCAGCCGCAAACGAAACGTTGCAGGTAAATAAACCTTTTCTGTGTTTTCAAAAGAACTGAAAGATGGAATTTGAAACTAAACACAGCAAGAACACACCAAAGATGAGGAAAAGTTCTTGATAAAATGTGGTGAGTAGAAAATCAGTGTGATTCTAACTATAAGTTGGATCCTTTTTGGGTAATCTGCATCGTTCACAGCCCAGTGAATAAGTGTCCAAACAGTAAAACAGTCAAATGATCCAGAAGTATCAAATAGCCTCCATAAAATCTTCTTAAATGTATCTGGCCTAATTCCTCCAACCACCTTTCCTTGACCTCATTAGTCTCCATCGACAGTTCAAGCTGTATTTGAGTTTTGGAAAGGCACATTTTTTCAGTCAAAACTAACATCTAGTATCTCTGCCGTCAAGAGAACTCACCCATGAAGGCTCCAACATTTCCGATCAGGCTGAACAGGCAACTTTCAGGAGGAAAAGAGCCACATTTACTGTGGGGCAGAAAAGAAAACTGGATTTCAGACACATTCATGCATTAGTTCATTTAACTTTTTAAGTTTATCGTCTCTCATCCACTAAAAACAATAACCAGATCTGTAATCAGTGATAAAATAGGACAGACTGACTGACACGGGTTCAGTTAGGATAAAAGCTTCTAAATCTATTGTAGTTTAGGTGTGATTGCAGTAACTGTTCACTGCAACACTTTTAACAAGAAGCCATGGCTGAGGCCTACTCTGGAGCAAGCTGCTAGTGCTGACGGCTCATGTCAACCAAAAGAACACACTGCTGATTCTTCAGAAACTCAAGCTTTAAATAGGGAGCCTAAGTCACACCCATCTACTTCCGGCTCACGGGTCCCCGGAAGAACGAAAACATGAACGCAAGTCAATGTGGCTAAAAACGCTACTTTCTAACTCCGCTCACCTTGTACCACGGATTTCAGTTGATGTCCGTGAATTTTAAAGACACAATTTGATACCAAGAACTTGCTTATTTTCGAACAAGAGGAAATGCTATTTTTGGTTTTGTGTGAAAATAAGTCCAAGACTACAAATGCGCTTCACGAAAGTGACGCCATCGAACCAGACACGGAGAAAACTGAGGGAAAAGGGCTGTAAGTTCAGCATGAATCTGGTCATGTGGTAAGTAGCAGCTACTTTGGGGAGAGGAGGTTATGTGGTGACGTCATATATGCGACGTGCAGATGTCTGGTTTGTAGTCATGCTAATTACAAACTTTTACAAGCTGATAAATCACAAAGTACATGACTGGTGTGGTCAAAACACCCTTTATTACTTTCCATTTAAATTGCAGCACAACATAAAAGCGATCCAGGGCGCAAGGCTAAGCGGATTAGAAAATAACGTTTTAGCTCCGTTAACTTGCATTCATTTTTTCATTCTTCCAGGGACCCATGAGCTGACTGGAATGGGAGGAGACTTAGGCTCCCTGTACATCCACATGGAAGAGTTACTACAAAAAAAAAAACCTCATAGTTGTCATGACTGTAAACTAGACCAATTAAACCTAAAATGTTTTTGTTCCAGGCTGTAAACATGTTTATTTTTGCTCTGAAGTTGGTATTTTAAACTTGGGAGTCAATGGGAACTTGCCCCTAGTGGACGAGAGGGGTACTGCAACGTTGCTCCTTGGAGCTGTCCTTACAAAAAAATGCAAGTTATGCAAAAGAGTGGGTTAATGACTGACAGAGCCTCAACAGAACAAGAAGCTAATTCACCCCCAAGGCCCTTTGCTGAAACAAAATGGGTTTTGTTTTCTTTAACAAAGACTTGAACTGTAAGAAGAAGGAGCGGTGCAGCAGAACACCTGATGAGGGGGATGTCTTGGATGGTGCAACAAGTCTTGGGGAAGCCTGGTCGGGGCAGCTCCTCTGTGCACGTTACATTGTAAGACCTGAAACAGAAACATGATGAGCTCCTCTGATGTCAGCAGTAAAAATCATCTGATTATAAAACCCAACTTAGTTATTTAACTAAGCCGGTATTAACACTTCTATAGAGAATGAAGCGTACCAGTTCTCCACAGGACACACATGGTGATTCATCACAGCCATGGCATATCTACAAGTAAAGAATCCATGAAATGTCAAATGTAAATGTCCTCGCACAAGATTATACAATTAATTCAAGTCTTTGTCGTATCCACCTGGATGTAAGAGCACAAATAACACGCCATGACTCACACTATCCATATTCCTGTGATGGAGAAGGCAGACAAGCTGACAGGCAGGACGATCCAGGCAGTCATTGGGCTGGCAGTGAACTGGCTTTGTCCCAAGCATGTGGTGAGAGGGGGGGGGTGTTGGGCTAAAGTGGCAACACGACAGGAGAGGTCAGGTAGGGGGTGGGTGGGGGTGCAGGGTCAACAACACACTAGGAAACACACACAAGGAGGGCATGAGAGGATAAAAGGGGGAATGGCACAGCCCCTCTGCTCCACAGGACCCAGCAACCAGCAGCAACCTGAAACAAAGAGGGTGGGGCATTAGAAATCTGTCACAGCATTCAGTCAGACTCAGGAACAGAACCATCCCGTCTAGAATCGGTGATGAGAACACAAAGCCACAAAGCAGGAAGTGCAGGTGATGGCTGATTTGTTAGAGAAGACCCAAGATCTAAAGGCCTCCGTCTCTCTTGTTTCTGGATGTTTATAGAAACAGGCCCTTGTTGTTTACAGTAAACAAAAACAGACTGAAAGAACACTTCACTGCATCGGTGCTGAACGCCTCCACTGCAAACCCCAACTCACCTGTGCTAATGTGGGTTTTAGCCTAAAGGAAGCCATTACTGAAACAACACAGATGAAAAGGAAATAAAACAGCAACAGTCGTTGTGAAGGTCGCTGTCGGACTGAACGCACATGAAGGTCAACGGCGTGGTACAGCAACATGACCGCTGTATCGGTTTACTCAGTGTTGTGTTACAAGTATGTCTCCTTGCTCACAGGGAATATTAAATAACAAAACCTCACGGAAGAAGCTCTGCTTTCCCAAAAAGGTCAAATCATTAAAAACTTTTCTGAAAATAACTTCATTTAAAGAAAAGATTTGGGAGCCATCACTAGTTTTCTGCTCACATTAGTTTCTACATATACTGTGCACATTTCTGGGTAAAACAAGCTACTTTGTAAGCAGCTACTTGGTGACGGTGAGACAACCAGCATCTAAAAATATTCTGCATGTTTGATGTTGTATACAAAAGCATTTTGAAGAGAAGAAGTTTTTTTTTTTAACAAGATAGAAAATATTTTAGTTCCACTAAACTTAACAAAATCACATGGACACTGTGTTCAACGTTTTATCTCTTGCATGATGTTAAAACCGTGAAAAACAGGTTTAGATTAGCGATTGTCAAGTTTGGGACTCGGGTCCAGATCCAGACTGAACGGCAAATCAATCTGAAACCAGCACAATGATTCTGAAACTCATTCATTAATTGAAATCTAGGTTTAGTTTACTACATAAATGTTTTCCTTTTAACAATAAAATGTTCATTTGGTTAACATGTAACAGATGAGAGTACTTTCAGGTGATTTCAGTCCGGAACCTGGTCTGAGATGAACATCCGGATCCGTTTCTTAACCGTGACCGCTGCAGGTACGACCTACACTGTAAATGATGCTTGGTTCACAAGCACACACGTGCATGAAAACATCACTTTTCATTTTATCTATAAGTTGTAAAGAAAAAATAATGTATTTCCTCTGGACCTTTTACCTTAACAGGAAATCAGTCTTGGACCTTTGAATAACACAACTGAGACTCCCAGATTTAATTAACAGTTTCTGATTTAGAGCAGCTGATGAAGAAAATACTTGAGCTTTTTTCTGAATTTTTATGAGGAACCTATATGCTCAAAGACATTTGAACTGAAACATTAACTAAAAACAAGGTAAATAAACAGATTAATTCTCTATTTAGCTTCTATCAAACCAGGTTTAACATGGTGACCAAAGCAGGTGAACATTATTACCTACATTTCCGTCAGATGCTACAGCAGTTCCTACACTGCTTTTTCAGTAATAATCAGTATCAAGCGTAGTTGGGGTGAGAAAAGGTGAGGGATTAATTGCCCCTAGAGATAATACGCATTGCAGACATCCTAAAACACAAGAGGACAATAAATAACTTGCTCCAATGATCCACCCATCTGCCACAAATGTCCCTCCATCTGCAAGAACAGTCCTACAGTTCCACTGACATAGAAAACAGTACAGTCCTTAAAGGATGCTGCCACAGATGCATAGTTTCATTAAAGGTGCATTATGTAGAAAAGAAGTAACAATGACATCCTGTGGTAAATCTGGTTACTGCAACCACTTCAAACAACTCTGGAGCTCTTTGCTGGTCGTCGTCAAATTAGATTTGTCGGCGCTGGTTTGTAGTCATGCTCACGGGAAACACGGCGACCCCACATCACTGATGGAAACATGACTGAAACGTTAAGACTCTTTTGGGATTTTCTCACTGTAAAATCATCACTTTATTGTTACATTATGCTAAGCCAATTTAGCCTATATTAAATAAGTGTTTTGGCAAAAGTTTAACAGATGTACCTGGTGGATTTCTTTCAGTCAGCGTACATTTCACATTTACTTTGCACAATCAAAATGTTCAAGTAGTTAGCTGGTAATCAGCTGTTTCCTGTTTCTTCCTTTTAAAGCAAATTAAAATCTGTGGACAGACAAAGCTCTTACAACAATTTGCAGCAAATGTATTTAAAACTATATTTAGACATGTAAAATGTTAATAAACTAGTTATTGTTTGCAGTATATCATGTGAAATGGTTATGAGACTAGTTCCAGACGTAGGATTTTGAGTGAAGGCCAGAGTACAAATAAAATGAAAAGGGTACTTTTACCAAAACAAATGATAAAACCTGCAAATTACAGTGAATTATCAAGCATAAAGAATGCTATAGAACAACTTGCAGTAAAATCACCAGGATAATCTTGTAGCAGTTCCTGCTTGATCACCACAGAAAGAGGAAGTTGAGTACTGAATGATATTTGCATTTCTGTACCAGTCAGTTAAAACACTGGTAATAAGGCTTCATAGTTCACTACTATTATGTACTCGAGAGGGCAAAGACTACAATATAACATTTATATGAATTTCTATAATTCTCTTTTCGCAAGAGTGTAAAAAACATAAATGTCATAGTTGGAAACTTTTCTGAAATTTAACGTTAATACAAATCTACAGTACAAAAAGTTCTCATGATTTCTTAATCCTGGGGTCAAAAACAGGTATATTTGAATGTCTTTCTTTTATTTTTCAGCTGTTTTGGTTGACACTATTACAGCTTAAAAAGTGACACTTGTATGTTGTTTTATGAAATAAGTAGCAGCTTTTAGTTTAGTTTGCTTTAACAGCAGCTAAAGATAAAGTCCCTGTTTATATTTATGAACATTAAGTGGGAGGAGGGGGGTGTTACATCTATAACCCCACTGTAGTGTCACTAAGAGAAATTATACGCCAGAGAATCCGACAATGTTTTCAGACTATTCTCTTATCCACCTTTAGTTAACTAAGTTTAAAGAAGTAAACTACTATGACTTAGCTGACCATCCTGTGGACCTGGTAGCGGTGCCGTTAGCTCTGCTAGCTTAAATCTAGCACGCCTGCTAGCCTGCACTTCACCAGTTGTCTTGACTTGACTCTTGGCCGCATCTTGATTTCCGCTAAACGAACAGATAAGCCACTGATCAAATATGTTTAGGGGATCGGAACACGAACGATGTCGGGACAGCTGTTCCACAAAAACGAGTTTAGACCTACCTTCCAGCCGCTGTGCCCACCACAGACCTCACCAACCTTGGTTTCCCTTTAAAAACATCGTTTTCTTAGCAAATGAAGCTAGCTGTATGAACCACTTCCTGTTAGATTTTTCAAAATAAAAAAGAAAATTTGTTTTTCCCTTTCTCTCTTTTAAACATTTTCTTAACATTGATTGTTATCCAGCCGATTCAAGTGTAAATATAATAAAATACAATTTTTTGCAAAAATATCGCACAAACAACTGTAGATTAGTTGAAAGTTTGAATCAAACAGGAGATAAACTTCTTTCAAACACATTTTAAAGCCAAAATTCAATTTAAAGTTTCACTTTGTCATTAAAGACACAATCTTATCTGCCCCCGATTTTGTTCAGTAAAACAATTATCCCCAGTGTGGTATCATTTTTATTTTCATTTTTACTTTATTGATAATCACTATACTGTATATTCAATTCACTTAAATTCAAGTTTATTTATGCAGCGCCAATAATGACAAGATTCGTCTCACTTCACATAGTAAATATTCCAATACAGGTCAGTTCATTAAGCCAATCAGTAAAAAGTTTCCTATTTAAGGAACCCAGCAAATTGCATCAATCCTCATACTAAGCAAGTATTTAGCGACAGTGGAGAGGAAAACTTCCTTTTAACAGGAAGAAGCCTCCAGAAGATTCTGGCTCAGTATAAACAGTCATCCGTCACGACTCACTGGGGATGGAGAAGACAGAGCACACATGCATACACCATCACCAACCCACACTCATACACCAACCCACACACACCAACCCACACACACACTCATACACCAACCCACACACACCAACCCCCCCCCCCCCCCCCCCCCCCCCCCCCCACACACACACACAAACATATATACCAAGTAGTGTTTCTATGGTTACATTGTGATTTCATAGTAAATATTCTATTTGGTAAGAGATAAACTTTATTGTATTTATCCTAGTTAATCTATAATTAAATGGGTAAACTAGAAGTAGCACATTCAATGTGAAAGAAAGTAAAATCTTATTATCAGGAGAGGGAGAATGATTACATTTTTAGCAACAGTGTTCAAGCCGATGGCCCCCACCATGAGGCCAACACAGCTCAGCAGAACACCATTGTGGCTTCTTCTGGGGAGAAAATCACATAGTTAACAGCTGAAATAGTAGGAAACAATACAGTTAAAGAGCAGATTGTAGAAGAAAGTAGTAGAGTGTGGAAAGTGGTCAGTATGTCCTCCAGCAGTCTAAGCCTATAGCAGCATAACTACAGAGATAACTCTGGATAACCTAGCCTTTTAGATGGAGGCATGTTGGAGGCAGGGCAAGGGAGAGCCGTCTTTACCGACTGTACACTCCACCTCCCTCTACTCCCCCACTTGTCCAGGTCTGGGCTAACATCAGATTTTAACCATAGGCCCTATCACATAAAATGTTTTAAGCCTAGTCTTAAAAGTAGATAAGGTGTCTGCCTCACGGACTAAAGCTGGGAGCTGGGAGCCTGATAGCTAAAAGATCTGCCTCCCATCCTATATTTAGATATTCTGGGAACCACCAGTAAACCTGCAGTCTGAGAGCAAAGTGCTCGGTTAGGAACATATGGAACAATCAGATCACTGATGTATGATGTAACCCTAACCTTAACCCGTCAGCATAACAGTGGAAGTTTATCCCATGCTGTCTATAATTTTACCAATTGGGAGCATATATGTATAGTAAAAAGACTTGGTTCAAGCACTGAACCCTGTAATACTCCACAAGTAACCCTGGAGTATGAAGAAGATTTGTCATGTACGTTTACAAAATTATATCGATCAGACAGGTAGGATTTAAACCAGCCCAGTGCTGTTCCTTTGATCCCTACAACATGTTTAAGCCTTTCTAAAAGAACATTGTGATCAACTCTGTCAAAGGCAGCACTGAGATCTAACAAGACTAGAACAGACACAAGATTCTTATCTGAGGCCATGAGAATATCATTTGTAACTCTCACTAATGCAGTTTCAGTGCTGTGATACTCTCTAAAACCAGACTGAAATTCCTCAAACAGAGCATTAGTGTTTAAATGCTCACATACTTGGTTGGCCAATATTTTCTCCAGGACTTTGGATAAAAATGGAAGTTTAGACATTGGTCCATAATTCATTAGGTCATCTGAAGTCAGAGAAGGTTTCTTAAGTAAAAGTTTGATTACAGGAACCTTAACATCCTGTGGCACATATGTATTTACTAGGGATAAATTGATTACATCTAGAATGGGGGCAGTAACCAAAGGAAACACATCTTTAAATAATTTGGTTGGGATTGGATCTAAAATGCAAATTGAAGGTTTAGATTAAGCTAATATTTTTGACAACTCTGAAAGCTCAACTGGATCAAAATGGTTCAAACACTGATGAGGTTCTACAGTTACCTCTGATGCTGCCTCACTTACTGAGGAAGAAGAAATTGCATTAGGGAGGATGCTAAGGATTTTGTTTCTAATAGAATTAATTGTACTCGTGAAAAATCCCATAAAGTCGTTGCTGCTGAGGGCTAAGGGAATAGATGATTCAGAGCTATGATTCTGTGTAAGTTCGGCAACTGTACTGAAAAGAAATTTAGGATTATTCTTATTCTCCTCAATTAGCGATGAAAAATAAGCAGTTCTAGCTTGTCGAAGCTTATTTTTATAAAGCACAAGACTATTTTTCCAGGATAAGTAGGACTCCTCCTGGTGTGTAGAATGCCATGTTCACTCCAATTTTCTAGAGTTTTTTTTTAAGTTCATAAATGAGAATTAAACCAGGGAGCCAACTTCCTGTGCTTAATTACCTTCTTTTTTTAAAGGGGCAACATCATCTAATGCCACACGTAAAGAAGAAGTGAAATTATGAACTAAAGCATCAATTTGTGAAGGGCTAGAAATGAAAATATTGCCCTCTGCTACGAGAGGCTGAAGATATTAAAAATGGAACAGTTGGTTTAAAAGATGCAACAGCATTGTCAAATAGAGACCGACTATAGTGAAATTTACTTTCATGTCTCGAGAAATCAGTTATAAAAAACTCAAAGGTTATCAAAAAGTGATCCGACAGGACTGGATTTTGTTGAAATATTGTATTTCCTCACACTCTATGCCATAAGTCGGCACAAGGTCTAATGCATGATGGCAGGAGTGGGTGGAGCTATGTATTCTTTGGGTAAAACCAATTGAGTCTAAGATATTACTAAAGACTACATTGAGGCTATCATTTTCGGTGTCAAACCTTTCTAAAAGAACATTGAGATCAACTATATATATATATATATATATATAATTTATTGATGTGGATCAGTGCATCATTCAGTAGATTTTCACAAAAGAAATGTATGATTTTCTTTCATTAGCAGACACTTAGGGGGCACACAGTCTATTCTACACTACAGTGTGTGAATGTGTATGAATGGATGAATGACTGACTGTGTTGTAAAGCGCCTTGGGGGGTTCCAGGATTCTAGAAGATGCTATTTCAATTACAGGCCATTTACCATATAGTAATAGAATTTTAACAATGTCTGTGTAATTTATTTATTATTTGAGTTATCAGACCTACAACTTAGTGTTTTTAAATGTATATTTTGGCAAAGTTGCGGTGTTGTGAGTTTTCATGAGCCCACACAAATAACCCAGTTATGCTCTTGAGCGTCACTGTTGATGCTCATTATTATTTAGATGGGCTTAAACTGTTAAGCTGTTGGTTTAAAAAAGCAGGACTGTGACACGTTATTAGGAACCCAAAGAAAATAATCCTGACACTGACTTAAAACATTCATCTTAAATAGGTTCAGATAAGACCTGTCATTTCCTCCATTTATCTGACCCAAATCATGACTTTTTCAGGAAGCACATGTTAGAAATATATTAATATTACGAATATATTTAAAAGTAGCTACGTCACTCATATTTCTAACCGTTTACTTCCTCAATGAGCGGCTGAGCGCCGCACGTTCCCGCGTCATGGAGGCACTGGGCACTGAGTGAAGCTGGTCTGCAGCTTGGACACAGACAGCAGCAGAGCTGTTGTGCATTGTAAGCATAATTTCCATAAATGAAAACTCCTACGCTTCTTGTAGAGTTTTAGTCACCATAGAGATATTTTTAGCAGAGTCTTTTTTGTCATGAGAATAAGTGGCGTCAAAGAAATCAATTCATCATCGTTTTCGTTGACAAAAACTACACTGGTTCATATTGAAGGTTCCATACCAAGCTATTTAAAACCTTCAAGAGCAAAGGTAGGCTCAGTATGTGATAAAACATTACCGTTTGCACTACCGAGATGTCCTTTATTTCACATACGAGTTATTTTCATCAGCCTGAATTTACCTGGAAATTAAATAGTTTGTTTCAGTGAAGCTCCACCCACACCTGCTTTGACAAAACACACCCACAACAGCGTTTTAGGCTAGTCTGCTGTTGTATTGGCCTTGGTATTGGTCTTTCCAATCTGGCACTTTAATGACTACAGGGTCTGTTACAAAACAACAGTCGTCTAACAAACATATCTGTGCTAGCCATAACATTTGTCCTTGTGGACAGCACACGTGGTTTTTACAGTGGTGTTTTGTCCCCAGTCCAGAAGTAATTTGTCAGAATATCCACTCTGGTCCTGGTGGAGATTTAAAGCAGTCATCTGGGACATGGAGGTCACATTCTCAACTGCAGCATGAAACCAACCAATCTATGCTTGCAACTAGGAGAAAGTGGGCGTTAGTGACCTACTTCCAGGGGAGGCATGTTCCAGCTCAGAACTTCAGGGGAAGAGCAGGGCCTGATGACACACTTGGTTTCCATCAAGGTTTTTGCAGGGTTTTCAAAGCAAACCTCAAAGTTTGAAGCTGAGACAGGAAAATGCACGAATGTTGCCAAAAATGTGTTTGGAGGAATTTTTCACGAGGAAACAACAAATATCACGCAGTAACAAGCTCCAAAAGGATTTTCCATGACACGACAGAAGGTGGGAGCCATCTTTCTTTTTAGCTTGAGTGCATCATTCATTATTTGTGTGCCAACTGTTACAGCCATTGGTGTCATTTATGGGTGGTACTTTAATTCACAGACTAGAAAAGCTGACTGCCACCACCTGCTAGATA